GGCTACGATAATTCTGGTCATGTTCGTTCTTGGTTGAACCAAACATCGCCCCAAGATGAGGTCGCCAATCCCCAAGATAATTTCAACCAAGATGCCGATCGCAGTCGCTCGATAGGGTGGCGTCCGTATAATCTTCCCATTGCGCCCATCCCTTTGAATAATCGCCAACAAAGAGAACGACACTTTGATCGAGACCAGCCGATTGCCAAAAGCCCCGAAAGATTTTACAGTGACACAAGGGGATACGAAGAATTCGTGGCGATGGGGTCTGATAAGGAAAACAGAAAGAGACATCGGCCACCAGAATGGCAACAATCCCCCAACTTCACTTCCGATGACTTTGCTTTCGAAAAACGACCTAGACACAAAACCCGACCTGATTACTATGATCCGAGGAAAAGAGATGACGCAAGAGCACGAGCAGCCAAAGGCGAAGCGAAAGGGGCGAGAAAACAGACCCGGGCAAAGAAATCTCGACTTCGTTCGAGCCGAGACGTCATGGACAACTTTACATCAAGTCTTCTCGGAACCTCTAGGATAACTGTATGTCATATCTATTAACAGGGAACGCAAGCTGAGAACGACGTTAACGTGCGATATATTAGCTGGATCCCGAGCTTCGAGTCGGCATGTCCTCGAATGTTCGAAGCTCTGCCTATGCTGGAAGAGAACGTGTGTAGTTCTGCCCGTGTTGCATCTCCTTTACTTACTATGATGCAGTTGGCGACCTCAGGTTCAACGAAATGCGTTTCTTGCAGAAGCCAGAAGAGCCGGCAAAGGGACACAGTGCCAGGAATAGTAAAGAGATCCGACAAGAGGGGAATAGGAACGGCTTCGAAAGGCATCCCGTGCATCTCTCGAGCCCCCGCCAATCAACGCCAGCTCTTAGCACCATAACTTCAAGGAGCGTGAGAAGTGGGAGGCTGGCAGCTCAACGGCAAGACGTAAGGCCCACGTCGCAAAACAGCTCGTGGGGATCTGGATATCACGGCATCAATTCCGAGAGTTGTCATGGTTCTATGCCAGGCAAAAGCTCATCTCTACCTCAACGGCGTCGCTCAGGATCAGAAAATCAGGGAGCGTCTGTCCAGGGCTCCAGAACATCCGAATTTGTGCCCGAAGAGCTCATTAAGACAGGAGTTTTCAGTGGTACAAAATTTCTGTCTCGACTTGGGCATCGCCGAAAACAGCCATCGATTGTCCCTGACACTAATGACTATACGTTAGATCCTGCTAAGACCCCAAAATCGCACACACCCAGGCGCGTATCATACGAAGACAGAGGAGTGATGGTTAGCCCTGAGATGGAGAGATCAGAAAGACCAAACCAACCACCCCCAGTGACAGCGGATCACAGTCATCAAAGTACAGCAGCTGGGACATCACTACCAACCAATTCCTTGACTTCCGAACAGCAATCAAAAGATCTTTCGATGCCTAGCGGAGACCCCAGTCGAGTTGAAGCTGACAACTCAAATACATCCAAGACATCTCACTGTCTTGACTCAGGGGATCAACTAGCGGATGGTAAAGGACGGCAGGCCCCTCCTTGTTCAGTTACTACACAAGCCGACAAAGTTTCAAGCTTTGAAAAACGCCCCGAGTCCATTTCTGCAGCATCAGAAGGAGGCCATCATTATATCCGCAGCGCCAACCGAAGCCTTGACCTTGGCATCGGCCTAGATTCAAGTCTCTGGAAAGACCGTCCTTCTGTTCAACCACTGTCACAGCGGATTTCGACGCCTCAGTCTTGGGAACATGCCACGGGGTATCCGGGGTACTCTGGCTGGCAGAGGTACCAAGGTACACCGGCACCTCCATCAGATTTTGGCACACGGTATCCAGAGTCTCTCCATCATAGGGTTCCCACCTTCACACCTATCCCAACACCGCATCTATCTAGGCCGGAGCCCCTGATCTATGAACAAGACGAATTCATGCCCAATGAGAAACATTCTGGAGTGTTGCCTCAGGACAATCATGAAGAAACCATGACGGAGTTCTTCGAAAGAATCGAAAAGGAGGTAAAGGAGAGATGGGATGGGCCGCAAGATTCATATGGGGTCGCTATGGGTGGTGACAATTTCGAGGCCAGTAAGATAACAAGGCCGGCTTCGAGGGTTTCGCAACCCCCACTCCAGCAAAGGGAGCCCAGTGTTCAAGGACCTCGGGGCTCGTTTGTTGATTGGAATAATCCTCTTAACGCACCAAGGCGTTTCTCGGGAAGGACTGCCACGGACGAAGACTGTGCAGCAGCAGAAGCCGAAATGGTTTCATTTTGGAGGCCAAACCGGTTCTAGGGCTAGGATCATGAAATCGACACTTTGAGAGACGATACATGTATAGAGATGGCTAACTGGCTCTCCTTATTCAGGCTCCTGGTCCTTCCATTTTGTCCGCAAGCCCTCGACATCGATACCGCACTGCTCTGCCTTTGCGATGACGGCATTGGCCTTCCCTACAACAGGAACATCGATCATCTTACCATCAAGCGTCCATGCACCTCGTCCGGAGGTAGAGGCCTTTTCATCAGCAATTGACACCCTGACAGCCCACTCGACTTCCTGCTGGTCAGGAGCAAACATGCGCTGGGCCACTTCGACCTGAGTGGGATGAATGCATTGCTTGCCGTTGAAGCCCATGGCCTTGCCTCCAGCGCATTCCTCCTCAAGGGTTTTGAGGCCTTGTTCCCCCTTGTAGGATGTGCAGACAAGATCAATGGCGCTTGGAAGCTCAGCAGCGCGGGCAGCAGTAACAATGGCAGACCTGGCGTATAGGAATTCGGTCAAAGAGGGTGTTCGAGTTATGGACAGATCAAGGGCGAAATCCTCGGCGGCAAAGATAAAGCCACTCAAGTAAGGGGATGCCTTGCAGATCTCGGAGAGATTCATGACGGAGCGCGCCGACTCGATGAGGGCGAGAATCTTGATGGGATTCTCTGCATCAGTTGCGTGACGCTCCGGAGCAACGTGTCGGAGGACGTCGGTTACAAAGGTCAAATCAGCAGCCGAGTTGACCTTGGGAACCACGACAGCATCAACATGGCGGAGAGGGGCGAGGGCAGTCAAGTCGGACAGTGCGAATGGAGTGGACACGGCATTTATGCGGACGGCAAGCTCTGAGAATCCGGAGGGCCGGGAGTTGAGGCCTGAAATGTGATCCCTCAGCTGCTTCCGGGCAGTATCTTTGAGAGAGGGGGTAACGGAGTCTTCCAAGTCATATGTGACGTTATCTGAGTGCAGGCCTAGGGACTTTGTGAGCATCTTTTGAGATGAGCCCGGAACTAGTGAGGATAGTCAGTGACAGTTTCAAAGAATTGAAGGGTTCAAAAGTAAAGTACCATATAGCAATGAGCGGCGGATGATGGAAGCAGATCGCGCAGCCATGGTGACGGTCTTTTTGGGGCGTCTGATTAGGATGTGATTTGGAAGTGTTCGCTACAAAGCTTGGATAGATTATATGCGTCGAAGTTGGGCTGTTTATAACAACTACTACTCAGCGTCAAACACCAAGACGCCGAAGAGGAGAAGGTTGAATGCCGACTCGGAGACGGCTTATACGCCGAAGCTGGACCCGCACGAGCTCATGACGTCCCGCCCGCCGGCAGTTCATCAAGGGCCGAGGGTACCTGGTGCTTTCAAGTGGAATTATGCCGTGTGTGACCGCCTTCCGTAACGGGCCGTGTCAGACAGGGGTTCTCGATCATCATCCCTTTACTAAGGACCAACCGTTGCGCGGCTCAAGGCCACAGCTTACGGGGGATGAACAGGTAGCTTCAACTTCGACCACTTTAATCGCTACCCACGACATTCACGCACACATCGAGAGACGAACGAGTACGAATCGCTCAGCGCATCCAACGCGCGCTTCATCTTCCGTCCCCGAATTCATACACAGAACAATCGTTGAAAGCAATGGATGCCACGCAACCGCAGCCCGCCCAGGGCTCTCTCAGCTGGCGCCTCAGCGCGCATCCCATCACGCTCCTGACGTTTCTCGCCTTCCGGATAGGTGAGCTTTGCCCTAGCGACAGCCTCGAAGATGCAATCGCTAACCATGTACAAAACGCAGCGAGCATCCTGGTCTACTTTCTAGGTGGTCTCTTGTTGACAGATAGCATGTGCGTCTACACGATAACCCTCCAAACCTACAAAGACGCTGACACCTTTTTTCAGGATCATGATCTTCATCATCACCATCCTCCTCCTAGCCGCCGACTTCTACTACATCAAGAACATTGCGGGTCGTCGCCTCGTCGGTCTCCGGTGGTGGAACGAGGTCGATCCCCAGACGGGAGACTCGCAGTGGGTGTTTGAGAGCAGCGAGCCGGGCACAAAGGTGGTCAACGCCACCGATAGCCGCTTCTTCTGGCTCGCGCTGTACCTGCAGCCCATGCTCTGGGTCATCATGGCTATCCTGGCGCTTGTGTCGCTGTCGTTTATGTGGCTGCCGCTCGTCAGTACGTAAACCCCTACTGGAGCTCTGGATAGCTTCACCACCTTGTCCTATGAAATATTCTGCTAACTCTCCTTCTAGTCATTGCTCTTGTCCTTACCATCATGAACACCCTCGCCTTCTCCCGCTGCGACAAGTTCAGCAACGCCTCTAACCTCGCCGGCAGCGCCTTTGGCACCAGCAACCTGGCAGGCAGCATCGCGACCAACATGGTTAGCAACTGGTTCTCGCGCAGCTAATCAAATGTCAGCTGGTTCCCTCAAAAGCAACCATTTTCCATTCCTAGCCTTTCGAGGGAGTTGTTCAAAAGAAGAGAGGAGAAGTGTTTCGTTGTCTAGGAGCAGGGTCATTGGGGCCATCCAATTTGTAGACTAAGGGAATGAGGTGTCATCAATATCAGGTTGCGGTTTTACGGGCAAGATTTTTTGCGGTTTCGGCGCCTAGGTATAGGCAAAATATGTACGACTATACAATCAATTATTCATTACTTCATATTTTATATGAGAAAGCTAATAGCCGTTTTGAAAGAAACAAATCTTCCTGTCATCACATGACAGGAAGATGGAATTAGTGAATCCAAAGTGTAATATTACCCTCATAACTTGAGTCCATACTTCTTAACGCTACATCAATATACATCCAAACGAGCTGATAGATTTTTTACCCTTCATCATCTCGCAGAACATCCATGGTATTTCTCCAAACACATAACCAGCTAGCCATTCAGGGGCGCCTCATGGATGAGGCATGAGGCACGTGTGGCAACGCTACGATGACGACGAATGAATCAAGCAGGGTACATGAGTGGCCGACCCGACAAGAGACAGTGAAGAGAATGATAAAAGTGACGATCCAGAACTCCAAGCCCAATGACGCGCAGAAACATGGTGCCCCTCGACTTCTCTGGTCGACAGGCAACAGACGGCCTTGCCCAGGCGAAGCAAAGCGAGGCGGCACTACCGTCTTGCAGCACGCTCGATCTCGTCGTCCAGCTCTCGTTCCTCTTCCTCCAGCCTCCGAATCTCCTCGGCTGTCATACCATCCTCGACCAGGTGAGCCACATTGGATGACATGCCCTGGGGTGTAGCGTTGCGGGAACCGGTGGATGTGCGAGGGAGGTTGTTCGGTGTAGGAGTTCCGCGGGCCGTCTGCTCCTCGTGGTCGTGGGTGATGTTCTGGAGTGCAACAGGCTGAACTTGGTTCTCGTCTGAGTAGGGAGAGTTGGGTGAATCGGTAGCACGGCCGTGAGTCTCCTTGTCCACAGTGTACGCTTGCTGAGAGGTGTAATCCTCGCCGAGCTGCTTGCTGCGACGACGTCGGCGGAGGAGGAAGAAGGCCAGTGCACCAATGATCAAGAGACCACCAATGACAGCGCCCACAGCAATACCTGCCTTTGCACCAGTGGATAGTCCACCACCTCCTCCACCAGAGCTTGAAGCAGAATCGGTTGCTGAAGCAGAGGAGGTGGCTGTCGCCGCGGTTGTCGTCTCGAGAGATGCCTCGCTACTAGCCGAGGCCACTATTTTCTCCTGCAACGTTGTGTCGGTTTGGGATTTGTTGCTGACACTGAAGTAGAGCGAACGAGTGTTGCCGGTAAACTTCTTGTCTTCGGACTCCCAGTCAACCAGAATCTCCATGGTCTGGTCAAAGTACGCCTTCAGAAGGGCCTCATCAAGCAAGAGTGTAAGTTGATCGTCGGTGACTTTGAGGATATAAATTAGCAAGCAAAAACACACATAATTGCATAATCAAAGCAACACACCTTCTTGAAATCCAGTGGTTAATTCGGGGTTTTCATCCCCCGACTTGTAAGTGGCATTGGCAATGTAATCGCCACCTGAGCCGGTTGTTTGCCAGTAAATGTTCTTCAGAGTGATGTCGTTGGTGCTGTACTTGATGGCTGCAGTGCCTTCACTGATGTAAAAGACGGGAACGTAGTCTTCGCCCCTGGGGAATTCGACGTATGTTGTCGGCTGGCCGCCGCCACTACCCCCTAAGCCGCCGTTCTGTCCTGAATTGGTTCCCGGCCTGCCGTCGTCTTTGCCCTTGGCAGTCTCTGTTGCAGCAGCTGTTGTACCAGTGGTCGCAGTTCCGCTTTCTTGCTCTACGGGGGCATCCTCTCCCAAGCCAGTGCCTCCACCGGTGGGCTTCTCAGCCAGTTCCTTGAAGCCATCCTTGGTACGGGTCTCTGCGGCGTCCTCCATCTTCAGTCTGTGGTCGATCAAGTCGGATGTCGGGTTTCGAAACGGCTATCCTTGTAATGTGGAACTCTTTCACAACACGGTTTGTCGGCTCGGTCTTTTCGCCCAAAGAATCGTACGCTCCGCTCGCTCAAAACCCAACACGCCTCGGCTAGGGATGAGGCTCAACTCCAGGATTCGTCGTCGTGATCGTGAACTAGTTCTCGTGATGTTGCTGCAAGTCCAGAGGATGGGACTGTTAGTCCCAGGGGACAGCGAAATGGAAGATCACCACGGATGGGAGAATTGGTGTTTGTCGGTGATCGATGTAAGACGAAAAAGGCGAAGGAGAGGAAACAAAGACAAGAAAGAGTGAGAGTGAGATGGAGCGAGCGAGGGCCTTACGGGCTGGGATGGTTGTGCTTGACTGGGCTGACTAGGGTGCTGGGGGCCAATGTGACCTTGCTGCGGCAAGCCAGGCTGGCTGGGCTGGCTGGTCCATCCCTCCTTCCCCCGAAGCAACCATCCAGATAGAGGTCAAGCGTGAGGTGGCCCAGCCCAGGCAAGCCCAGCCCAGGCGTCTTCAGCCCAGCAAGTAAGACCCTGTACGAGGCACCACCGCGGGATGTACAATCAGGTACCTCGGGGCAAGGGTACAGTACCACCAACAAGCCGTCAAGCCGATTGCAAGACTCACCAGCAACCGACGCCAGACAATCAATGGTGGATTCTTAGTGCATGTCCATCGCTCATCAACGGGGAGCAAAGCAACGGGCAGCTACAGCATGGCATGTATCCGTCGTCCGTCTGATGCATCAACTCTGAAACGCAGATGGGTTTGCGATATGTCGTGTCAATGCTACGCGGTCAAGATATCTGGCCAACGCATATCCCAATTCACAACAAGGCTCTGGGTTGACCGTCTCTCTCACCGTCTCATCAAGGTGCGGAATAAAAAAACACAGCCCATCCTTCAGCTGAGAAGCAAAATAAGCCCAGCAAAAGAAGGCTTGAGGGGTGGTTGCCCAGACCCTGGATTCTTTGAACCACAAGTACCGGAGTGTATCGGTAAGCACTAGGCGCTGAATGAGCCTGTTCTCGGATGACTGACGAGGAATGGGAATGAAAAGGATCCATGGCATTTTTTGTCGGATCTGACATGGAAGTGGAGAAAAAAGCCCTGTGAGAGCGAGTGAGCGGGAATTATCAAATGTGCAAACATGTAACACCTGCAGCCATGCGCATCTTTTTCTGACGAGCGTTTTATCTAGACAGTGTGTGCAGATGAGCGTCTTGAAAGAAGCCATCCATTGGATCTGTCAATAAGACACCATCAAACTGATCAACCAACTGAACCTCTAATACGCTCAAGTTACTTAAAGGTACCTCCCCAATATTACGGCAAGACAACCACCTTAGCTGGAGAGGGAGAAGGAGTGGGGAGGGGCGGAGCAAGCCCCAGTCGGCGACTGCCTTCCACCCAAAAAAAGGGATTCTGCCCTATGAAACGCCCGCGCTGGAGCACCCCACCCGTACCCCAGCCCAATTGGATCCCCGGTGCGGCTGACAGAAGTAATCCCAGGGGGTGTATCCACCTCGGGCGTCCACTAGATTGCTCAATGGTCGGCGCGTCGTCTTACACTTATTGGCGCTAAGCCCCGTCAGCTCGAATCCGTACTTCTTTGCTGATGAGAGAACTGGTTTTGTCGGTCGGGGTATTTAAATGAATTGATTCCAATACGGCATCAAGTATCGAAGATTGATCCGGTCTTTTTGGTCTTTTGTTCTCTTCCCTGTCTATTGTTGTGGTGGTGAGGTAAAATGAACATCCATACCTAGAATATCCCCATCTCCGCTGATCAGGCTTGACGCCTCAGACATGATGGTCGCAGGATCAGAGAGGGATGGGGATGGGATGGATCCAACAGCATGCGTCTGCGGTTTTTGTTTTTCGCCGCCCCCGAGTTGTCCGTGTGTACATACTGTAGATCCATCATCCGTCGTCTAACGACAATAGACGGAGGGGAGGCTAGGAGGACAGTGCCAGTCCTCGTCTCCCGCTGTCAGCATCGACTTCGAGAAGAAAATGGAGCCACCATCAGAAAAGCCCAATCCATTCGAGTGTGAAGCTGCTGATAATATCCCATCCCTATCGTCTTGGCCAGCGAATCGCTTGCCATCCTTGCTTGCTTCCATCCCTCCCCCCTCGACCAATCCAATAAGCTGTTGCATGTGCAAAGCCTCGCTCGGGCAACAGAGTTTTTTTTCTCCTCTTCCCTCTCGGCTATGCTGTTGCACTTTTGTACACTCAGCCGCTCTCTTGGAAACACCTCTTTCTTTGCGTTACCTTGCACTATCGACGCCCTGTTTCGCCACCGACCGTTGTCGTACGGCGGCCCCTCCGCAGTGTAGATCTAGCTCCCTCCCCTCGAGCCTCGTTGTTCCCTTGCCAATGCCATGGATCAAGGCCCGTAGGACACGTGTATTGTGCTACTTGTCGTGTAACGAACTGGTGAATAAAGGAGGATCAAACGTGCCCAGTGACATCCATGCCTACCTATGCTTAATATAGATCCGCCAGACTCGACCTCAAAACAAAGGCTGCCATCCACATCACACAATCTTCTCCATGATTGGTCAACGTCTTCCCCGTCGAACCTTGAATATGTGGTGGTGGGTATGATATATCTTCTGTCTTGTACTGCTTGCTGCTTTGTTCATCTGCTCGTTGCTCATACCACATAGATATGAGACTAATGCCAGGCCCGTTTTGCTCCAAGGATCGCAACCACATCCAAAAATAAGCTACGCCTCCGAACAAACTTGAAAAGGCTGGCCGGGAATCTAACATCTATCCCCTTCCTCACCCATCAACCAAGAAACGCCTTCGGATAGGTGCAGATGGCCTCATCTCGTCATCCTGATTGTCACCCGCTCTTGTCGCCCATCAAAGAACTCCAGTCTGGCAGGTTTACGCAAATGTCATCGAAATCTCCTTCTCCTTGCCAAAGTCGTCATCATCCAGGTCATTCCAGGGGTCTTGTATGGTCATGGTTGGCAGCGTATGAGATGACTTAATCTCTGGCCGGTTCGGTGTCTCCTCCTTTGGTGGCACTGTTGTCGATCGTGGAGGATCGTCAAACGACGTATCAAACGTCATCTGGATCTCGTCCTCATCCCGGCCCGAGCCGTATGCATTGCCATGTCCCGAGCCAAATCCTCCACCATACGCTGCGCCATAGTCTGGCGGCGATGCCTGTCTGGTGTAACTCGGCGTGTAGCTCGGCGTGTAACTGCGCGAGCGCTCCTGTGATGCCCCAGCTTCGCGCGAGTCCCGAGGTGCAGTTAGGTCGTCTCGAGAACTGTTGACAGCCGCCGGGGACGATGGAATCGACGCCATATCCAACTTCATTGGAGGCAGCGTTGACTTGATCTCCTTCACTTGGATCTCCTCTGCGTTGCCCCCGCGTGCATCTTTGGCAATCTCTGCCCTGATTGCATCGATATCAAACAGCACGCCCTGGTTGGCGTCCCCCTCCTTGGTGCTGGCCTCGCCCTTAACTTCACCCTTGTTTTTCGCGTCGTCGTAGATCTCCCAGTCTTGCTTTTCTGCGTTCTTTCGTCGCCCGAAGAAGCTGAACCGCCCGCTCTTCTTTGACTTTCCCTCCTTTTCTAGCTCTCTTCGTGCCTCTTCGATCTCGTTGATAAGCTCCCTCTGTCGCTCGGCGTGATTGTCTGGATCCGGGTCCTCAATTTCAACAAACTCCTCACTCTCAACAGACCATCCACACCTCATAAGTAGGGTTGGCATCTGTTGTCGATAGTCCATATGGCCCACCACGAGATCCGTCACATCCATGTTCTCAATCCAGGGCATGTCCTCGATCGGAGCCAGACCCGCAACTCGACGGATACCTCCGCTCGTCAGTCGGAACAGGTATCCCAGGATCCAGTCGTTGCGGTTGAAGGCGTTGACAAACCGCCCAGAAACCACCGTCCTGGCTCGGATATACTCATCCTTGTTCACGACGATAGGCGAGCCAAACATGTAGACGTTTTGAACTATACCAACCGCACCCTTCTTAGATAGCTCCTGTAGGCAAGAAAAGACGACTCGAGCTCCGATGGAGAATCCGACGAGCGTGATTGGGCGAGTTCCCAGGTTACGTTCGAGCAAGGAATCTGCCAGAATCTTACCAGCAGATGTGGCTCGATCTAGAGAAACTGCCCAGGGGTTATCGATGAGATATGAAAGTTTGGTAAGGATTATCGGAAGCTGTATTGCCGACATGAGAGCGGCCAGAATGGTGGCACCCAGAATTTGTTGGATACTCTGAGTGAGGGCCTATTGCGTGTTAGACAAGCTTGCCCATTTACAACAGGTTAGAGAACTTACCTCAGTAGCCAGGATATTAATGGTGTCTCCCATACTTCGAAGCATCTCGGGTTCGAATAGGACTGAATAAAGGTCTCCCATGACAGGGTCCACCGTACTGAAAGGCAACCGGACATCATCGACCTTGCCCGTTAGCCACCCTGAAACGGTCACGATAAGGTTGACACGTTTGTTGTTGTGTAGTGGCCGGTACTCAAACGTCCTAACTGCACCAGTTCTTCGGCCGGCCGCCCTGCCACCGATGATACTTCCTGTCGTCGCTGCACCCGATGTGATGATGGCTGCACCACCAACACCGCCCAGGAAACCACTCGTACCCGTCACTCCGATGGCCGTCAGACCAGTAGCTAAACCAGCACCGATGACGGGTGCCAGCAGTCCAGCAGAGAGACCAATTACCAATCCACCACCCACGGTAGCCAGGCCCATCATAACGTAGCGTCGAGTCAATGCCCTCTTCCTGCGGGCCTCTGTATGCTCGTCCTCGTTCCAATTCTCTTTTTCGGCGGCTTGCTGCATTTCCAATGCTTCCGTAACCTTCTTCTCGAATCGACAGATGTCGAGCCACGAGATATCAAGGCTCTGGCCGACCCGCTCCAGCAGAACCCTCGAGCGTGCGTCGTAGATCGAGTCCGCAATTAGAATCAGAAACAGGTCGCAGAGGACGGTCCAACGGAGGTCAATATCGATTTTGGCAGTTGTTGGAAGCTGAGAGGGAGTCTTGACGTCGGGAAGTTCCTCGACGTCAGGGGCCTCATAAGGTGGAGGGGCTTCCGTCGGTGTCTCGTCTCCCGAGAACAGTGACGGCGTACCAGGTGTCGAGGTGCCTCCTGAGGTGCTTTCGGCCATAGGGTTCGCCACTCTCGCGTTGGTGTTGAGTGCCGGTGACAGGTCCTGAGGCATGACTCCATGATCAGCAAGTTGCTCAATCATGACCTGCTCGGCCGCGTTGATTTCCATATGAGCGTATAGTCGGAGCATCATCTTTTGTCCCCACATCATCATGGCTTCAGCTGAGATGCCCACTTCTTTTTTCGTCTTCTTGGTTGTCTCTAGGGTTTCCGCCTCCTTCACCATCTTGACAATCTCCAGACGTACCAAGCCGACGTATGCGACTCTCTGTCCCTCCGTGAGAAGATCCTTGGTTGCTTGCATTTGGGAGATGGCATCACGCCCCTCATCGTCGTCAACCATGCTCGTTCCATTGGTCGGCCTGAAGAGATACTGTGTGTTGTCGTCCATGCTCGTTGCCGACTCGGCATCGTCGTCTACAAAGACACGGGTGTAGCCCTTGCCGGCACCTCCAAGTCCTGCGTAGCCATATTTCTCATCCTCCTCGGGGTCGTATTCTTTAGCAATCAACTTGTTGTCGTCATTATACATATCATATCTGGCATACGACGGCATTTCCTGCCATCCATCATCCTCGTTCTCCTTTTCCTCGACCTTTGTAGAGATGTGCTGGTGGGAAAACTCGGACACGCCCTCTCGGTGGCTAGCATTACTCTCCCCGCGGCCCCGAGCGGCTGTGGGAGATGGGGGATTCGATTTCGGCTCGGTGGCATGGGATGATTGATCCTTGTCGACCGGTACTTCAACATTCGCAGGCTTTTTCGAGGGTTCAGGGACCTCAGTCTGTGGTTCTGCGGGCTCCTTCAATTTGGAGTCGCTGGTGGATGCCGTGTTTGGCTCAGGGGATTTTGTTTGTACCACAGGCTTAGACTCGACCGGCGCAGGCGGTTCCTGTGGAGCAGACGGTTTCGAGGCTGGTTCTTCGACAGGTGTAGGCTGTTGAGAGCGGGCATCCTTAAAATCGTCATCGTCATTATCGACTGGCTTCGTGGCCTCGGGAACGGCGGCGGTCGGAGTCTTTTCTGCTTTCTCCTCGGGAGCCTTCGGTTGTTCACCGCCTACGGCATTTGTGGACGAGCTGCCCTTCTCTTCTGTGATCGGCTCGACAGGTGCATCGTTCTTGGGAGTGGGATAACGCCTAATGGGGAGGCCAAAGTCATCCACTTCGACGGCCGGTGTAGTCATGATGTCTCGATGGTCGGCGGGTCCTAGCACTGTTCGGGGTGACGTGTGGCGTCTACGGTTCGAATGGGGCTCTCTTTGGGATAGAGACAAGTCGTTGAGAAGCCGACACAGGGACAGGTGAAGATCGGATATCGGGAGGATCGAAAGGGCCGCGGTCTGTCACCATTCGACCCAGAGGACGTGCTGTAGTCTGAAGACGGACCCTGGCCCTCGCGGTAGCTGCGAGACAGAAGACTCTCGTCAGGGTTGGGGGCCGATTGGCGAATAAAGTAGAATGATATAGGTGGTGAATCGATCAGATAAACCACCCCCTGATGTCAGGGATTGAGCAGACTTGCTGTAAGAAAGAAGGGCGAACTTATGAACCCTCGTCCCTCTCTCAGAAACCTCCTATATTGACGGGGACTCCAAGAAGGATGGATGACTTGACATTAGGTGGGGTGGGCCCATCGGATGGCTGAGTCGGCGGCGGGTGGTCCTGGCGGATGGTAGCGGCTGGCGGGACTTCCAGTGGCTGCTTAGTGGACGTTTCGTGAGTTTTGCAGTGGGGGGCGGGCATGCATCCAGGATGGATCCATGGATGGCATGATGGGTCTCCCATCACTTCAACTCACGACTCCATGCCATCACTTGCAAGCCCCGGCCAATTTCGCACTCACATGCCTCACGCGACCCTTGATGCCTTTTTTCATTAAATGCCCGAGGTAATGAGTCCTTGCCGCGAGCCGTCTTAGTATCTTGGTCGTTTAGTGTGGGCAATAAGCTCTAGTTGTTGGCGTATGAGATAATCTTGACTTCCATTTTAGGATTACACGCTCGTGACAAAATCTAGATCCTTTTGATTACGCCCCTTGGCTTTTTCTTCGCCTGTGCTATATTCCTCGGGTATCTGTACCATCGAATACTCCTCCTGGTAGGTCAATATGAACACGTTCTTCGCTTGTGATGCGCCCCTCCATCAACATTCCTGTCTTGGAATCCTGCCACAACCGATCCTTCACTTCATGCCTCAACTCTCCGCTTCCCCTGTGGCCTCGACAGGCTCAGCCTTGGCCTCTCCTTCGCCGGCCGTTGAAGTGGCAGCCTTGTTCTTCCGCCGTCTCTTTCTCTTGGCAGGGGCTTCTTGTGTGTCCTCCTTCTTCTCGGATCCTGCTGGTTTTCGCGACTGTCCCTCTTGCTTCTTCTTGGACTTCTGGACTGCCAATGGGTTTGGTCCCTTGGTGCCGTAACTCTTCTTCTTTTTCTTCTTTTGCTCTTCTGCTGAAAGAGCCTCTCCGTCGCCGGCCTTGGCCTTGTCCTTTTCATCGTCTGAATCTTCGTCTTCTCGCTTTCGCTTGCCCAGACCATTCTTGAGCTCGGCCCGGAACTTGCTTCTCTCTTCACGGGCTCGGACCTGGACACTCTCGTCTGCCATTGGCTCCAGAATCATGACGCTTCGCTTGATGTAGATCAAAGGGACGCCTCTGATACCCCGTAGCATTCTTCGCACCTCCTGATCCTGGCTGGCAACCACATAGCGATGTTTGTTCTGGTTCGTGCTCTTGGGGTCGACAACGGATCGAAGGCATTCCTGCGTGCTCAAGGGTTCGGGGTACTCGTCGGGATGGTGGCCGCATCGTCTTCGCTCCAGAGTTTTGGCTAGATCAATGGCTGCGCTCACGCCGGGTTCGGTTCTCTTGGCGTAGAGTTTTCGAATCTCGCACTGCGTGATCACTGGGGTTGTTAGTACTCGTTCGGGAGTCGCTTTGGTTGCAGACGTACTAGGCTTAACCTTGCCATGAACTGTCCTCGACAGTGCCGGCTCAAGGTCCATCTTGAAGCGAGAAGAGTCTTGCACCATCTCGGCATCGACTGCATTTGGTAAGCTTCATCTTCTCAGGCGCAAGTCGCGACAACTTACCGAGGACCTGGTACGGCTCACGGAAGCCGAAAGTCATGGAGAATTGCTCCATGAGCTTCCGGTACTGCTTCGATCTCTTGCCTCTCATTTTGGATACGCGATTGGCGGAATATGGTACAAGGTAGGTGACTGAGGTTCAACAAGCTGGATGCGACGGCGTTGAAGACGAGCAACAGAAAATAAATTTCTTATCAGTTTGATCGGCCAATCTGCGGCACGTGCGATAAGCCGCGGGTCCATTCATGGTTGCTCCTCTCCTGCATGCCCCGCTATCCATATCCCACTAACACCGACGGTTCGCCATGATCATGTCAAGGTGCAGCTCTCTTCTGGTTTGTTTACCTATGCTATATCTTGATCTCAGTATACTTCTTTCTATGTAATTTAAATTCTGAAGCATCATTCATTATAAGTACTATCCGATCCCGTATTGCGCCCGTTCAAATATCTGTATACCCTGTAGTCGGAGCATCATTCCACATGACATCACACTCTCCCAAGTCTACTGCAAGTCCCTGTAGAGCGTCTCAGTTGTCCAGCAAAGAGACTATCGTCGTCAAACCTCGTTTTTTACGCAAAGGGCTGCGACAACGCTGATATCGTCGAGTTTTCCTATCAATGTTAGTCAGGCTGTCTTCGACAAAGCAAACTGCGCCAGTACTCACCACCCTCACTCGCCAAGCCTTCCTCGATCGCATGCTCCATGAATGGACTTTCGGCGAAAGGATCCACGGCAATCTCCTTTGCAGCAGCCATAAGATCTTGCGCCGCTATCCTCATTCCTCCGTTGCGACCGCCAGTGCGATCACCCTGGTGGGCCTCTGCGTGCTCCCCAGACTCCCATTCCCTCACGCTCTTGAGTATCCTTGTTACAATCTCATGCTCCCAGAGATTGTCGATTACCCCGTCGCTCATCGCAAGCACAATGTCGCCAACTTCTAGGTCGACCTTGTCCACAACCGCATTGTCGTTAGGGGTATCGGGGCTGTTGGTCCCCAGCTGCCGCGGGCAGTCGAACCAGTGCCACTGCTCCACCGTCTTGTAAATCACCCTCTCGGCACTTGGCCGGAGGACCATGACCTTGCAGTCGCCGACGTTAGTTACATAGAGAACAGGCGATGTTTGCGCCTCGTCGTCTGGGCAGGTTTTGAAGTGCAACTGCGCGCCACAGGCTGTCGTTGTACCTAAGCAGTCGTGTGACGTTGTCGCCTCGAGGGTCTGTTCGTACGCGGTCTGCAGACTGGCAACCGGGTCAGGCTCTTGAGGAGGCTCTGATGAGAGACAGCGAATGCGCTGCTCCTCAATAGCAGCCGACCAGAAATGGAGAATCAGTCTTGACCAGAGTCTGTACCGATGTCAGTAAAAGTTAAGATAACCTCGGAAGTTGTCCGGCAATGTACCCAGCATGCCCCCTCGGACGGGTCGCCCAGGCTCCCACACCGTCGTTGGTACAGATGAAATAATCGCTGGCGTAGACAGCATCGTCGCCGTTTGTCTTGCCTCTGATGAGCTCCCCGTTGACAAAGGCCCGACGGTCGCGGCTCTGGTGATGCGTACTGAGAGGATCTGTGAAGGACGTAGACGGAGGGGAGAGAAATGGCGGGGGGAACGGGCGGGGCGTTCGTTTGGCGAACAGGCCGATGCCAGTTTCGAATCGAAAGGGCAAGACGGGAGGGTTATGTGAAAGTGGTGTCGCTGCGGAAGCGAACCATCTCTCGCAACATGGTCGCCATGTCGTCGTGTGTACCAGGCGTCGCACCGTGAGCCATGGTAGGAAGGTTGTCGGGAGGGCCGCCAGAGTTGAAGATGGTGGACTGGGCATTCCAGCTGTGAAAGCCAGGCGCAGCCCCGTGGAGTTGCTGGCCGCAACCTATGATGGGATTGCTGCTTTGCTCTCTGCAAGAGAGATGACCACAGATAGGTAGCGATCCGAGGAGTGGTCTGGGTGACCGACTCGCGAGATACCAGGCAAGGTAGCTTAGATCACAGACAAGGACACGTGATAAGCCCGATACCGCACCGCACCAGAAAAAGGGCGTCATCCAGAACAGAGAGACAACTTTTGAGTCAGGGCGACCAATGGCTCAGAAACACTAGCAACATGCTGCCCTCTCCCGCTAGAAACCGAGCCCCTCGTTGACCCCAACCGAGAAAGGGACGGCTAAGCCGAGGGGCTCATGGTAAAAATTTCCCCTATATCGCTCCCTGAGCCTGAGGGGGGACGGGCTCCTCTGTGGCCTGCGGTCGACCTGCTGCTTTTGTAAGAAGCTGTCCTCGAAAAGTTGAGCTTCGGGGATCGTCCGTGAGGGCGCAGCGCCCAATCAGAGCGGCACATGGCGTCGCCTCGCCCAGCCTAGAGCTACCCCATATTCTCAACAGCTCAGAAACAGTTGAGGGAGATGGTTATCTGGGGAAGCTGGACAAACGGTAGAGCCAAGAGGCCTCTATGATGTCAATGATAGATGTGTTTTGCGGTCACGGTGGAGGGGGTCACAAGTAGTAATGCGCCACTGTTCTAATACAGGGCTGCGTAACCCAAAGTGACAGTCCTATAGCGGTCAAAAGACAAAAACAACAATAACAAACCACAAGTCGTGTCAAATGAAAATACTCAAATACCCTGGAGTCTGGATTGAAGGCACCACGTGTTGTCGCCAACCGTAAAAGGTGAGCATCTACACGTCATGAAACGCCAACTTGAAGATCATAAATAAGGTGTGTCTGTGTGGAAGAGTGCCGCACCTTGTTTGAACCAGATCCGGAGGATCGAGCATTGAATCAAGTGCCAAGAATGGAGGACGCTTGACCACAAGGCGCCCTAATGATATTGGTGTCCTCCACTCCCTTCAGCAAGCTATCGACATCGACGATGAAATGAAGACCGCCAGATGACGCATTTTATTGGGACTTCTTTCATCACGTCTTATCCTAGTCCCTGATAGTTCCTACAGGATAGTTCCTACAGGATAGTTCCTACAAGGAGGCTCCAATTATCTGTACACTACAGCCCATAGTCCCATGCGCTTCAACGGACGGTAGGTAGGAAAATATGGGGGGCACATGCGGACGGATAAGTTCTTCAACCTCAAAATTGACAATCCTACCGAGAGAGTTTTCGTACTGAGCATGATAATGAAGCGAAAACTTTAATACGACTTGGGGGCAGTTTTGTGGCATCGTATTACTGACTGATATTCGTATAAGTCAAGGCGAGCATTCCTACCCATCCTACATACTAATGCCCTGGTTTAAATGAACCAGAACTATCGCTCAACTTGACCCTTGGGAGCAACTAGAAGACATGACGTAAGGGGTTGGGATAAATGGTGATATTCAACTGGAGCCAGCAGAGGCCCATTTCCCAATTTGGTGTCATCTTGAAATTCTCTCTACCTTGCACCAGTAGCGCCGGGTGACCCGATCATGCCGACCTCCGTGCAGACGTGATCCCAGCAAGCATGAGCGCCTGTCTGTATCATATACGTAGCACGTACAGTATGGTTGAACCAGAGGGTGAGTGAGTTGTCGGCTCTCAAATGCCTGACGATCAAACAAGGTGGAACCTGGCTGATGGCACGGGGGGGTTGCCGGCTTGTACCGCAGCGCAGCATGTAACTATAGATTTTGAAGGTGTTGCCGATTACAATCACGACTGACGAGTTCCCCATTGTTTGACGCGCAAGCTCTTGGCCTTTGATGTTAACCGCCCGGTGAGCGTATACGCCAGGGCTGTCGTGATTGGAACTCTGTGCGGATCGATGGCGGCTGAGTGAGCATGCATGGTTAAGGGGAAGCCGATGTTGCCGGGTGGGTTGGCGATTAATCTTGCCCTGACATGTTTGTGTGGGAATTAGAGCACCAAGATGTGGTGATCTTGGATGCATTTCCACGCCGCATGATGCATGACACGCCCGTCAGACTCAGGGTGAACAACAACGCGGAGGACACCAAGGGTTCCCTCCGGTCATGCCGTATGTACTGACTGGGCTGCGTATCCCGCCTTTGCCAAGTGGTGAGAGTACGCACAGCCTCCACAATTTGGAATCCGAGACAGAGTTACTTTCCTCAGACTTTGAATCGTCGTCTTGACCTTCTCCAGGTTTGTTTCTGTGTGAGAGGACCCCTGGTTTGTTTCCATGGAAGCCCTTGCGCAGGCTAGGATGTGGGATTGGCGGCCGCTCGAGGTCCAGACCACCCCGGTAGAAGTGACGACGTGGAACGTGAAAATCTATCTGTTGAAGAGCTTGGAGATAGTCCGTAGAGTTGGGTATTTAGTCGATAGGTGAGGAGAAAGCCGCCAAGCACATCTCATTTTAAAGTCTGGTATTCGTGGAATTGCCAAGGTAGATCTAATATTCTGACGCAAGACGAGAAATGCACTCTGGCAAAAAGGCTGCTCGACGGTGTGCCAAGCTTTACATGCCCCGTAGCTAGAGCGGATATAGAAGCACTATTAGAGTCCGCTTTTTCGCCTTGCAGGACCCCATGTCGCGCTGAGTGGACGTTCTAGCGGCATTCAGGCGCCTCGAGACGCACTTACAGACAGCGGGATGGTGGAGCAGCGTCACCGAGAGACATGATGTTGAGGCTTGGCGGAGGACACCACTGAGCAATACGAGAGCCGGCTTCCACCCCGGCTCGGCGCGGTTTCGTCCAGCGCGGCAATGAGCCAGCGAGCCCAGTGAAGCGGACTCGACGGTAGCAGCGCGAAACATGCGACACAGTTGATGACGAACCAGAGTGGCTGGCTCTAGATCGCTGAAGCTCGAGCGTGGGGACAGCGGTAGTATTGAACGACCGACAGCCCCGACGATTGGGAACTGGCGTCAGTGACGACGAATCCATGCCATTCATTGTGGGAGGGACTCCACCTCATGACTGGGGGGGCCTCTTGGGATCCCAGCCACTGCTTGCAAGCATTCTCGTTTTCTCGTTCGTTCTGGGCGATGATGAAGACTACGGCCTCAGTGGAGCGGCGGCAACGACTGCAGCGGTAGGGTAACCAACCTACACCCGGCAACTCTGTGAGACAGACAGGATCTAGAGAGAAAGGCTTTTGCCATTCACCATCTTCTGCTGTGCCGTGCCATGGCTTGGCTACTCATGTATCGTGTGCTTGGCCAGGAAAAAGCCGTCTTGAAAAGCGTCATGAAACCTGAATAGCTGGCGCCAAGATACGCAGACGCGCGCCGTCTGCTCATGTTGCACCACGCACGTCTGGATCTTGTTTGGATCATGGATAACTGGGGCCAGTACTGGGATGGTTGGGTGGCATCTCTCTCACAATCGAATCGCATACAGGACAACAGCCCGCTTATACATGAGATTTTGTTACCGTCCACTCAGTTGCCTCTGCCGTTCGGAGACAGAAGGCACACACGCCCGACCTCGTACCTGCTCTGCGTTTCCGTGACTATTTTCGTTTCATGAGAGGCGTATTTGACACGCCGACCAAAAAGTATTTAGAGAAACAATGATCCTCCCTGGTAATTCTCCCACACATGTAACATCCCCTCCATCTTCCGGCCTCGTTCTGTCGTTTCCTTTGTGAACGTCTTCGTTGTCTGCTTCTGGACCGGCCCCTGCTTTCACCATTCTTTGTCGCATCCAGCCAGTCTGTCACTCGACTCACCGACATTGCTATTGCCCACTCAGTGAAAAGAGGGTCATTTTTAGTGAGGGCGTTCGGTTCTGGACGTGCACTTAGACTTCTCGCCCAGCCCGCTGCCGCTCGTCGGTGACGTATGCCATTTTGGTCAACCAACATTTTGGCTCGTAACCACTCAAAGGCAGACCAGACCAGACCATCCCATCGACGGACGGAGCAAGCAAGCAAGAAAGACGCACGCAACTGGACTGGACCCTCCTCCCGCTCGCTCCGCGCGTCTCGTGCTCCGGCTCGCAAGATTTAAAAGAGGGACCCCCGCGCCGGCCGAGCATCGCGAAATAGAAAAACCTTGGTTTGGGACAGCCCTCCTTCTTTCACCTTCCAAGAAAAAACCTCTGGCTCTGGGTCTTGCCAGCCTCCTCCAACAGATTTAAGCTACGGGAGCCCGCAGCTCCGGAGGACGCACGCACGCACGTACCGACGCACCGCGACGACGCATTCCCACCCCCACCACCACCGACCCGACGACGATCCTCCAAGCCCGACGCCGGCCACCTCGTCCCGCGTATTCAGTGATTATATTAACCGGCTGCAGCAGAGCCAAGCCCTGTATCGCCTGTCTTGCCGTGTATCACAGTCGCTCTCGCCTGTCTATTGCGTCCCGACTGCCAGATTGCGACCTGGATGTCCTGTTACCCTTGGCACGGCTAAGAACTGACATGCCAGTCGTCCGACGCATCCGCCAGAGCACCACCTTTTGATGGATACAGAGCGGCGCCGAGCACCAAAGGGAGTCTAGAGTCTCAACGTACAACAACGTTAACCGTCCACCCACGTCCCAAGAACGCAAGGGCTGCTTGGCCTCTCTTTACTTTTTTGTTTCCTCTGTCGGTTTCGGTTTCGCCCTGACTTGGCCGATCATTGAGGGCAAGCAATAAATTAACTATCAAAGACACTTGTCCGCCTGTGTACGACAACACACATCGTCATCGTCGTGGCTGGCGCAACCCCTTCATCTCACGGCGTTCCCCTTGCTCTGGGCATCCCTTGCGCGCAGCTGGGTCAATTGATTGTCTCTCCCTTCCCACCGAGCGAACGAGGATTAACAGCCTCGATTTTCATTTCCTGTCTCACAGATCTGCCCCGGTTGATCCGGCCGCTTCGTCAACATGGGTCGAAATCGAGGTGCGTATTCGTGCATTCGTAAAATAATCCCATTCCAGTTCAGGCCCTGTCCGCCCGCCAGGGCTGCCTCTTCGCATGCGCCATCAGCAGATGGTGGACGTGCGCGCCGAGAGGAGAGAGCGTCCACCCGGTGGCACTAGCGGTCCCTGCCCGGCGCCCACTGGACGGGCAGTTGACGCCCCCCGCCGCCGCCTGCGACACCCGCCGCAGGGGGGAAGTCGGGTCTTCTGGGCGTGCGTCGTTCTCGCTACGGCGGGGGAACACACACAAGTCCCACGGCCTGGGCCAAGTTCCACTGGCGCCGGGCCCAAAATTCCCTGGGCTAGCACATTCAGGGGACTACTGGCAGCCCGTTCAGCAGGGTCCCAGAGCCCAAGGGACCCGACCCGGCCGGACTCCATTCTCCCTCCCTCTGGTCTCGGCTCCCCAGGAAGCCATATCATCTCACCTCATCCCGTCCTGGTGCTAACCTGTTGGTTGAACATCTAGTCCTCTCTTTTATGTCCCAGTTCTCTGCGGGCACAAAGACACCACCACCTTCGTCCTCTCCCCCTTCCGGCTCGCCGTACGGACACCGCAAGACCACATCTGTCAACGAGCCCTTTCCCGATCACAGAGTCAGCAACGACATTTCTCGACCAACTACACCGCCGTCACGACCAGATTATGGCACGCCTGTGAGCGGTTCACCCATTGATACTCCCCCTCGTCGACGCAGTTCATCACGACCCCCGTCTATGGTCCTGGCACATCAACCGCCCATCATGGATATTACAGAGGACACGATTCCGGAGCTTCAGCCCATCTTTTCCTTCCTCAACAGCCACTCCAACAAGCTGTACCAGGAAGGCTATTTCCTCAAGCTCGACGACCAGAATACACGTATGCTTGATCTCGCACACCCTCTTATCCCCTCCCCCACAGAGCCCCTACCGCCAAGCCCCCTCCACCTTAGGCGGCCCATTCACACGTGCATTTCGAGCTAACGAGTTGACAGAGGGCCGTCCAAACCCTGATAGAACCTGGACTGAATGCTTTGCCCAGCTCGTGGGAACCGTCTTGTCACTATGGGACGCCGCCGAGCTCGATGCCGCCGGTGAGGATGGCGAGGTCTTGCCCAAGTTTATCAACCTGACAGATGCGTCTATTAAGATGGTAATTGGCCTTGTCCCTTTACGCATGTGGATTGTCACTTGCGGAAGACTAACACGACTGCAATAGATCGAATCTTTGCCTACGAGATCTAGCGATGAACAGCCCCTACAGAACATTCTGAGCATCTCAACAGCCGGAAGAAACCGCTATCTTCTTCACTTCAACTCGCGCCATTCGCTGCTACAATGGACTGCTGGAATCCGGCTCGCCATTTTTGAGCATTCCACGATGCAAGAGGCCTACACCGGTGCCCTCATTGCCGGCAAGGGTAAAACACTGAATAACATTGGCGTCATCATGGAGAGGTCGCGGTTCAAGACCGAAGAATGGGTTAGGGTCCGCTTCGGTGCCGGTGTTCCTTGGAGGAGATGTTGGTGTGTCATTACACCACCCGACGAGAAGGAGTACGCGAAGCTCCAGAAGGAGATGAAGAAGAGGTCGCCATATGACCGGTCCCAAGTCCCCACTCTAAAGGGAGATATCAAGTTTTACGACCAGCGCAAGGACGGCAAGAAGCAAAAGAAAGCTCAACCGATTGCCACGATCACGGACGCCTACTCGGCATATGCCATTTATCCTCAAGCCAAGTCACTGATCGAGGCTTCGACGCTGCTCAAGATTGAGGGCAACATCGCTATCCATACCGACCCACCTTCGTCTACCGAGGGCTTCGTCTTCATCATGCCCGAGACTCACCCAGCCGTCACTGGCTTCGAGATGTTGTTGCGGTTCCTCTTCCCCACCTGGGATACCTTTGGCCTGTACGGTCGCCCAGGAAAGCTCGTTGCCAGCGTCCTGGACTCCCGATCTCTGATGTTTGCCATGCCTAAGAGCTCGCGTTACGGTTATCTCGAAAACCTCGACGTCTCCAACCTAATTCTCGAAGATGGTAGCTCTAACTGGGGCGAGAGAGATTGGAGAAAGAAGCTCAAGGAAGCGACTGGGACAAGGATGAATGCTATGGATGATGCTCCGACTACTCGATCCCGAAGTAACAGCCGAAAGAGCGTCAGGCTGAGCTTTGGGGACGGTGCGAAACAAAGAATCGGGTTCCAAGACCAGCAAGGTCCTACCAGGTCTTCTCGTTCATTCTCTCTGACTGAGCGTACGCGAACCGATTCTGCACCTGCCGATCCATCACGGGTGGCCTTTGGTCAAGGTGGTCATGGCCGCAACTCCTCTGACCCCAACCATTTGGCCGGTCCTCCTCCTCCTCGCCATGATTTCAATGGCAACAGCCCCTATTCTGGTTCGCCCCAGCGTGGCCCAACCCCTGTGGGCGGCCAGTATCAAAATCAGGCGCCTGCTGAGCTCGGCAGTGGTTATGAAAACAACCGTGGTGCTTCAGGCTCGCCCCCTTTGAGAGATTTGGATGGCATGCGAAAGATGCATACTCCGGAGCCCGTTTCACGACCCCCGGCATTCAACCATGGGCCCCAGGCCCGGCCCATGAGCAAGGCGTACCACTCTCCTGAGCTCAGGCGAGCTAACAGCAGGCTTTCTAGCTCCACGCTTGCCCAGCTTGCTACAGCTGGAGGCTTGGGCGGACCAAATGATTCGAATCCTTCTCCCAGAGAAGGCGAGGTGGACGCTGCGAGATCTGGACCATCGGTACCTCAATCACACGCCAACTCCGTAGGGATATCTGCTAACGACAACCGCTCGCGTGAAGCTTTAAGTCCGCCAAACCAGGATCCCTCCTCCAACAACCTCCCACCACCGCTCAATCTTCAAAAACAACGATCTCGATCCCCCCTAGCCCAGTCCCCCTACGGACCTCCAAGCCCTTATGCGCGTGGGCCGAACTCCCGACCTGGAACCTCGGACGGTAAGCGGTCTCCCATGCCCCCAGGTATGGGCCCTCCACGCTCCCCTCATCCGCAAAACCCCAACCGTCGACCCGACATGGGGCCCGATGGACGGCGACCTTCAGACCCTCGCCGCCCTGGCCCTGGACCTGATGGACGACGACCTTCCGATCCTCGTCGTCCCGGACCTGACGGACGGAGGCCTTCGGACCCCCGAGGTCCCGGACCCGATGGCCGGAGACCCTCAGATCCCCGGGCCCGTGGCAACGGACCCCCACCGCCAGGTCATGGCCCACCACCCCCTGGACCTTACGGCAATTTTCGGCCAGGCCCCGGTCGATCTCCTGGACCTCATGGGCCCCCAGGACCCCCCGGGCCACATGGACCTCCCATGCAGATGGGCCATCGAAAGCCTGTGCCCGAGAGAGCGCCGACTTTTGAAGCGCCGACCTTTGAAGAACCCAAGACGTCAACCATGTCGACCAGCAGTGTCGTGACAGCCAACGAAATCATCGACCACTATGTATTTGACCAAGGTCGCCGACCTGTGGGAACGCCGACCTCTGACAGAAGGCCGCCCCCGCCTCAACGACAGGGCAGCAACAGGAGTGGCCAGAGCAGCCATTACGACGACAGCTCTTCTATGAACAGCATCGACTATGCCAGCACCCACAAGTCTACTGAAACCAAGAAGTCTGTAGAGCGACCTCGCGCTGGAGTTCTCAAGACAGTCGGTGGCAGTGACGAGCCTGAAATGCCACGAGACGCCGGTTATGACATCCCGGACATTAACTTTGGGCCGACCATTAACTACGGTGCCACTCAACAGCACAACAGAACACCTGGTGCTCTGACTCCTGGATCAGACCCGGCTCAAAGACCTTATTCCCCTGCGGGCCAGGCGCCCACACCGCCGGCGCACAAGTCATCTGGATCCCATGGATCCCAGGGATCTCATGGACGCAAAGATTCCGAAGACATGAAGCGAATGATGGCATGGCAGCCAGGTGCATCGGCACCACCGTCCGGCTCCCAAGGCCTCAGTGCCGAGCAGTTTGTACAGCAGAGAGCGGCCCATGCTCGCAGCGCCTCTAGCAACACGCTGAGTGGAGGTCGACCTACGACGCCTGGTGGATCAATGAAGCGTACCAGTTCTTACGACATGCTTCAGGGCCTGCAAGGTGGCTCAGGTCGGCATTCACGAAATAGTTCAGTTGACTTGCTGTCCCGTCCCGGGTCACGCGGCGCGAACTCGGCTCTCAACTTTGCCAGCCCGGGAGATGCACCCACTCATCTCAGCGCTCGCGAGCAGGAGCAGGTTGCTCGTCTGACGGGAGCGCCATTGATCAGTGTGCCCGGGCATCAACGGCAGGGGTCTCAAGGCTCCGCCATGATGGGACATCAAAGACAAGCCTCCTCTGGTTCGGGGTTGGTCGCCGCTATCGAAGCCCGAGAACGTGAGAAGCAGCAGATGAAGCAGGGCATGAGCAGCCAGGCGGTGCAGCACGCGATCAATCAGCGACAGCAACAACAGGCTGCCATGGCATACCAACAACAGGTATCTCAGCAGCACCAGCAACAGCTGGCTCAACAACAGATGGCGCAACAGCAGATGGCCCAGCAGCAAATGATGCAGCAGCAGATGGCACAGCAGCAGCAAATGGCTCAACAGCAAGCAGCATACCAGCAACAAGCCTATCAGCAGCAGCAACAGCAAATGGGCGGTGCATACAGCACCATGGGTCGAGGAGGCGGAGGCGGGCAGTATGGCGCTGGGGGAATGCCATATGGCGCACCCCAGCAGCAGGCGGGAGGTTACGGACAACCAGCCAGTTTCTCGCGGCCGCTCCGGACACCAACGCAGGTTGACCCCCGGTTCGTGCCACCACAGGGTCAGTATGGCCCGGCGCCCGGATCTCAACAGACGCCGCGCAATGTCCACCCACAGTACCAGGGGCAGGCATTTTAAGTTATGAATGACGATGGAGCGAAATTGACAAGATGATGGGGCCTCTAGGTAGATGTGGTATGTGAAGGTCTGGAGAACAACATGAACGTGGAAAGACTATATGAAGCAGGCACTGATGCATGCATACACGGGCGTTTGGAGGATGTAAGAGTAGAGCGAACGGTCGAGAAGCAGCCTTGCATATCATGGTGGGCATAGGAAGGAAGCATCTGCATTTATTTAGGAAAAGCAATAAACAAGATAGATGCATGTTGAAACTGGTATATTTTGGACCTTGGCGTTGTCTGTGTCGGTAAATACGAGAGAAAGTGAGTTCAAGAAAGATGTGCTCAGCAATTGAGTTCTCAACCTCAGTTGCGGCGCTGAGTGAGTGGTTGTCAGAGGCTGGCTTGTCACGGATGAAGCCATCGACCAAAGTCCCCGGTGGCCTCTCGATCGGTGGAGACTGTGGGGCCTGGGCGAACCTGAGACTCCCTGGCAGGCGTCGACGTCCAGTGACTTTTTCTATCCAGGCCGACTCTGAAGGCGAGTCTCGAGGCCGGGTATTGTCTATGGCGGCTGACCGTTGACGTTGGCTGGGGCATCTCCCGTAGGCTGTGACGATGCGCGTGACCTGAACGCGCCTCAGGTTTCTTTTCGCGGACTCGACTCGCGTGAATTCGGGAGAAGCGAAGAGAAGAGAACGTGACGTGACCCTGTTGACAAAGGCTGGTTTCTGTGTAATCAGATGAGCTTGGTTGCTGAGGCATCCATCAAGCAGGGGTCTTTCGTTGGTGATCACGGCACTTGGATTCACTTCCCCGCCGCTGAGGAATTGCTTTGTAGGCGGTTCATGGCGCCAAAGTCGCTAAAGAGGCGGCCCCCAGGAGACATCAGAGGGTGCCTAATTGACCTGTGAAGGGCCTGAAGCGCTGGCCAGGTGAAATGGGATCCATGGATTGATAGGTTCCCTCCATGCCTGGTTGTTAGTTCTCTCACCCTCATTCACTGAGAGATCGGCCCTAGCCAACCAGGGCCAGTGAAGGAAGTCGTTAGACTGTCGTGACGTCCCTCGTCCCTTCCTTCAGTGCTTGTGGTTTCTTTTTCCATCCCGCTCCCCTCTCTTGGCTCTCGATTCCTCCATACATCTCTGCCTCTTTTTTTGTTTTCTTTCTTACTTACTCTTCTTCCTCGCACAAGACAACTCCGACGCGACCGAGCAGGGATAAACCAACAGCTTTCCCCAACTTGTCCCACGTACAGAAAGCGATCGATCCTGCCTGCGCCCAAAACCTCCCGCCTTGAACGTTTGCGCCTGCGGCCGCCGCGCGACTCTCCTCCACGATCTCACCCGTTGCACCGTCGCAGCCTTTGATAACTTCCAAAACGGCAATCTGGCATTGCTTCGCGGCGTAGGCTGCTCGGGTCGCTCCCAATGGACGGCGACGAGCCCACGCAAGGTGCGTTTCCCCTCCGACTCGATCCAACTCCTGTCCAGGCTGACCTAGGCTCCCAACAGCAACCCAGAATGTCCTCGACCCACGCCGAGTCGGGAAGCAGAATTCGGGCTTCTCAGACGAAGACATCTCCGACATAATATGCGTACTCTACCCCCATTCCGACTCGGCCCGCCTCGAGCTTCAGCGTCTGGTCCAGGAGGACTCTCCTCACATCATCGGTAAGGACGAAGCGGACGGTGTCGAACCGGACTACGACTTCGAGGATCAGGCCGGTCGCTTTCTCGCCAACCCGACGAATACTGGCAGCCATGCTATCATCCTCCGTCTCTCAGCCCGACTCAACAACCCTTCGGCCGGCTTCGTCTTTGGTCGCAACCCAGGGCGTTGCGATATTGTCTTCAAGCACGACCCGCTCAAGAGAGTCAGCAACATTCATTTTCGCATCTATGTGAACGAGTATGGCTCGGTCATGATCGAGGATCAATCTACCAACGGTACTTGGGCCGACGGCCACCTGCTGACCGCCCATGCCAATGCGAACGCCAGAGGAAACACTAATCCTCCCCTGACAAAATGGGTCTTGACCTCGGGCTCTATCATCAAAGTCTACCTTCATCAAGAGGCTAGGGACCTCACCTTTCGTGTCCGCATTCCGCGCCGTGACGATGGGTACGATCAGGCTTATACCGACAAAGTCGAGGCTTTCTTCACGCGCCATCAGCTGAAGAACCAGACCGAAACCATCACTCCCGGGCCCGGCGGTCACGTTGACCTCTTCAAGGATCCCGTCCAGGCCCGATTTAAGAGAGAAGGGACTGGCGAGATCACGCAAGCCAACTCGCGATCACCACGCAACAGAAGAGAGACTCAACGAGAGTGGACGGGCTCTGGAAAGTACAATCGAACCGGATCAATCGGAAAGGGAGCGTTTGCTGTGGTTCACAAGGTGACTTCCAAATATGACGGTCTGCCCTATGCGGCCAAGGAGCTTGAGAAGCGCCGCTTCATCAAGAACGGCGTGTTGGACCAAAAGGTTGAGAATGAGATGAAGATTATGCAGCGGGTACAACATGTGAGTTCTCGAGGCTGCTCTCATATCCCTACTGGAACTGAAACTGACCGCGAGTTGTAGCCCAACATTGTTCGCTATATAGAGCACTTTGAGTGGGATGACCGGTTGCTCATCATCATCATGGAATACGTTCCAGGGGGCGATCTGGGCAAACTCATCTCGGACCAGGGTGCTTTGACCGAAGGCGTTGTTCGGATCATGTCAGCACAGCTATTGAGTGCTTTGGGATACTTGCATGCCAACAACATCACTCATCGAGATGTCAAGCCCGACAACATTCTCATCAACTCGCTGAACCCTATCGATCTCAAACTTACCGACTTTGGTCTGTCAAAAATGGTGGACAGCGAGCAGACCTTCTTGCGAACTTTCTGCGGAACATTGCTCTACTGTGCGCCAGAGGTGTACACCGAGTACGAGGAGTATGACGACGACGGAGTGCGTAGTCGAGGTAAGAGGATGCGGCGCGCACCCCGCCAGAGATACAGCCACGCGGTAGACATTTGGTCGCTGGGCGGCGTGCTATTCTATACTTTGACAGGCTCGCCTCCTTATCCCGTCAAGAGCGGGATCAGCTATTCTGAGCTGTTACATAAGATTATGACGACCCGACTGAATATTACGCCTCTGCAGCGAAACGACGTTTCAGAAAACGCCATCGAGTTTCTTTGCAGAATGCTTCAGAGACGGCCCGAGCACCGTGCAACGGTCAAGGAACTGGAGAACCATCCGTGGTCCACTGGCATGGAGTCGGTAATAAGCGCGTCACAATCGTTCGATGAGATCTCAGAGGATGAGGATATGCTCGGCAACTTTTCACAGCTTCAGCAGCGTCACTACGAGGAAGACAGAATCAGCGACTCCATGGGCGAGGAATCAGAAAAGGAGAACTTCAGCGGGCGACCAGAGACACAACAACCGAGACTATTTGGTGAAGTAGGCATCTCTGCGATTGGCAGCTCAGGTGTAATCCCAGAAGACTTGCTCAACCTGCAAGCGAGCAACCTCAGTGAAGGGCAAACCGAAATCCTAGGCAAGGATGTGGACGAAGCCTACCAGTCAGACGATTCTGCCACGCCAAGGAGTAGGAACCGCCGAACTCATCGTCAGACCAACATTTCTATCGCCCAGAATCAGTCGGATGATCAGCTGCAGAGTCTGGTGGAAGATGTGGCTTCTCAGAGCTTGGGAGGCAATGACTCCGTCGTGCAGAACCTTGCACCACCCTCGAACTACTCTTTGCAGTCGGCGGAATTCAACACTAGCAAACGCAAGCCCCCTTCACAAGATACAAGCGATGAGTTCGACAGCACCCCTGTCGGAAAGCCCACTATGAAGAGACTCAAGTCCGAGAACAATATCGAGAACCTGGCAAATGAGAACGTGGAGGAGTACAAACTGCTGGCCCAGGTGCCGCAGATCGAAAGACTGGGCTCAGGACGACAACTCGACGGCCCTTACAACAAGCAGGGCTTCTGGGAGCAAGATAAGGCAACTTGGCATTTCAACTACCCGGAGATGACTCACCTTCAATACAACGCCTTTCAAAAGGCTGCTGTTGAGAGGAGCGAGGAGTTTGCGCCAGGAAAGACTCCTCTTTGGGGTCTAGCTATGAAATACTTCCCCCCTGTTCCACGGACAGGAGGACGAGCCACACTCGGCCGGTCGAATTCACGGATGCCTCTGACTTTTGAGAACCAGGGCACAACTGATGACCCGATGGAGTTTCCACCGACCGCAGCCCCCGTTGACAACTCTCAGATCCCTGATACCCTCCCTGTGCACAACGCAATCATTGTGCCAGTTCCGGAAGAGGAGCCCAACAGACAAGCCGTGGGGATGTTCGAGTCCCACCCTCAGTCATGTCTCCCCATTTCGTTTCCTGTCACTGACACGCTGGTGTCATTCGGGCGTGGACCGGCGAATACCGAGGTGTTTGAGGACAAGTTGGACGCACGAGTACCCAAGTACGCACTGAAACTGCTGCTTTGGAGAGACGGAGATGGCTTTGACCCTGCAAAGGACCCTGCCAAGGTACCCCCTCCATGGCTTCGAAATGGGGGTGACCCGAACTCGTACTGCTTCTACATCTCGACAAAGGCCTCAGTTGGAATTCACATCAATGGCTACTTGCTTGCTTCGTCTGATGCAAAGAACCATAGCGGACCAGCACACCACTGGGCTCGAGTCTACAACGGTGACTCGATAGCAATTTGGGGCTCGGACGGCAACGGCAAGCAAACCACGCTCATCTTTCGGTGCTTCTGGGGTGCTTCTGCCCAAGAACGCGGAGAGGACAAGTCGCCGAGGCTAGCCTCCGCAGCCCTTGCCCAGAAGCTGGACGCTGCTTGTCAGAAGGCAGAGAAGCGCATCAAGGATGTGGCGGAGAGGAAGAAGAGGGGCGAGCAGATCAAGGCGGATTGGGAAGAACGTCTAGTTCACGTGGAACGGGAGCGTGAACGCAGCCGAGCATTCCAGGCGAAGCGACTGGAGGCGATTGAATATCTTACCACGATCTCAAGACAGACGCCGCTTTCGCGAATGGCTTCACCAGCAAGCGCGCCCCCTACGAGCTATGTATTCGGGGCGCCTATGTCTCGCCTATCTCCAGACAAGGAGAACACCATGCCCATGCCATGAAGAATGGCGAAACTACGAAATCGACTACAGGAGCTTCTTTCATCGTTGGGCTCTTGGGCACATTACACAAAAGCAAGCGCGTCATTCGGGAACATGGGAGGAGCAACGGGCTGTGTTTGTGGGATTAGCATTATGGAAGGGTAATCGGGCACGGCCTCGGCAGGCGAAGACAAGAATCATGATTGCTGTTAGAGTGGTATTTTGGAATCGCCTTTGGGCTCATCCTCAACGGACGACGGACGGCAACTTGGCATGGATGGGTTAGGTACTTACTTTGTGGGGGTGTACATGGGTTAAGACAGAAAAACTACCTAAATAGAAACTGAAATATGATGTAAATGATTCTGTGTCTGTTGTGTGATGGTGAACAAGTGGTTGTTGTCACGGCACTTGAGGTGTTCTCATGAGATAGGGGTAGTTTGTAACAAGTCACAAGTGACACCTAGTAGGTGATTTGACAAATCGTTTATCTCATCAAGCTCTCTTGACCACTTGGCAAGCTAGTCTAGATGATGAAAACTAATCATACAGCAATAGCCGCTCACGGCATTAATAGTAATAGTACAGTGTCATAACCTCATTCATTCCCTTGGTTCACCATGTCCGTCCAGAGATCAACTCTCACCCTTCCAACATATATCATTCATAAGTCCCTTCCAAAAAAGTCAAATATTCGTCATCACGTCTCTTGTCGAGACGGTTGCCTCTGTAGCAGAGCTTCAGGGCGCGTGTGCAGGTTGTAACATTACTGAGAATGGAACCTAGTTGAGAACCACAAAGCCTTAGGCAGAGTCGCTGTCCGAGGTAGGGTGAAGCGCGAGCTTGCCAGCAGTGGCAAGGTTCTCTTCGGTGTCTTCGTCCGAGGTGCTAAAGTCTCTGTCGGAGCCATCCTCATCGTCGTCCGTCTCGACAGAGGAGGCGTCAGAGAGGGTGTGGTACTCTGTTGAATCGTCTGTTAGCAACGGAAAGATGGTACAAGTGTGTATCTCGGCGAGCTTACCAAGAAGATCATTCGCGCAATCAGAGGAGATCCCGCAGAAGGAGCCTGCTTCCTCGACAATGGGGACGGGGTTGAACCCGTTGTTCCAGTAGAACTCGTCCGGCTTGCCAGGGGAACTGGGAGGGTTGCTCTGCTTAGCTGACTGCTCAGAACAGCCATCAGGGGCGCTGTAGTAGGAGAACCCAGCAAACCGACGCTTGCGAGGGGTGTAGTAGGGGTTGCTTCCAGCATCGTCTGTAGTCGGAGGGTAGAAGTCACTATCAGTAAAGGCTGTGTTGACGTTCGTGTAAGGCTTGGGCCCAGGGCGGGGTGTCCCATAACCGTTGGCCGACTTGTAAGCGCTGAATCCTTCCTGGTAGTCTCCAGAAGCCTCATTGAAGTCGTGACCTGAGTGATGGCGGCCAAAGGGACTAGCCCGACTTCCAGGGGTAGTCGACGCCTTGTTCTTGGACTTGTTGAAGAAGGAACCGAAGCCGCCGCCCGAGGGGAGGAAGGATGGCAGTGAAGTAGTAGACTCCAAGTACTCCTCATAGTGATTATGAGTGCCCTTGGACTCGTTGGCAGTGTTGTTAAAGGGGCTTCGGAACCCACTCTCGTCTGCAAACTTGGTCTCGTGGGGAGATCTGGGGTTAGTATAGAAACCACGGTCTTCGGATCGATCAAAGTCTCTGCTGAATGCGCCCTGGGAGTATCCTTTAGAAGGAGTAGTGGTTCTGAAGCTTTCAGGGGTTCGGAAACCGGATCCTGGACTCTTCATCGAAGACCGGCCACGATGTGGGTGAAGGTAGTCGCGGGTATCCTGGTCCTTTTCGCGGGAGCTGTCATAGCCAGACCTCTGGCGAGAGATAAGAGGCGAGCTGGGAGGTCGAGAATATCTCTTGTTGTCCAGGGGAGTGTCAGCCTCAGCCTCAGAAGCCTCGGTATCTGTTGGCAGAGTCGTTCGAATGTCGACAGAGTTCTTGAACCGCACGGTCTTGCTGCCAGATGACTTGGATGAGGTCGGGATAGAGTCACCGGATCTATCGGACTCAATGGACGCCTCTCGAGGTCGAGAATTCTCGAATAGTGGTTCCTTATCCCGTCCGGGGCGCTCCAAGGGCGATCTCTCTTTGGCCAAACGAGACGAGGTTCTACCACGCTCACGCACATGTGCTTCATCGAATGGAGTGGGAGTTTGTCCTCGAGAATGATACCCTGGCGCGAGATCTTCGATGTAGGGTGCTCGGTAGTTGGCAGGCTTCTCGGGTCGAGGAATAGACTCGGCATCTATCTGCCCAGAAGAGCGGCGCTGAGCTCTGCGACTAGCAGATCCAGTGACACGAGTAGGATAATCCGGGGACAGAGGGGAGACATCTCGATGGTTCGGACGAGCGTCGTTAGGACTAAGGGGCTCGTAGCGTCTGCCACGAGCTTCCTTGTACCGAGCTTCCTGGCGTCGAGAAGGAGTCTCTCTCTTGGGGACCGGAGACTCGTGGATCTGGTCCCTGCCGCGGTGTTTCTTGTCCGTCGTGCTGTAACGTCGAGGAGAGGGGGCTCTTCTATGCGGAACTGGAGACTTGAGAAACTGCTCTCGAACACGAGACGGTCCACGGGTGCTCGCACACTGAGGGACCATGGAGTCGGTTTCTTCATCAAGGCAAGACTTTAGAGTGAACCACTTTGCCTCTTTGTCTGGAGAACCCTTCAATAACATTGTTAGTGAGGAGTCCCAAAGGTGTCATGTAAGAACTCACTGTGCCAAGGACAGACATCTCCACAAGGCCGATATCGCCTTGAACCTCAGTCCGGCAGGTGCTGCAATAGTTTCGGAGGATGGGCTCGCCTGGAAGGATGGGGTGCTCCTTGTGAAACTCTCTAGATCGCACAGATCCGCAGCTGAAGCAAAAGTGGTAGCGCTCGGCCACCCCTCGCTTGACCATCATGTCATGGCATTTCCCACATATACTGTACTTTCGTACTCCAACCGGAGGACAGGGATACTTTTGTTGGAATTTTTCGGAGCGAGAGGCGCCGCAATAGTGACAGAAGTGAAATTCTTTGTTCCTGCGCTCCGGGCTCTGCTCTCCTTGGCTCTGTAGTTCCTGCTGAATGGACCTCTTGGTGACTTGATTTTCACCGAGAGGGGTCTCGGATGGAAACTGTGGTGATTTGAGTCTAAGCAGAGGAGAGCCGGGCGTGGTAGATGTCGACGGGAGTCTGGCATGCATCGTGACCTTGCCCGATATTGCCTTGTTCAGTGTCGAGTTGAGCTTGTCTTGGAGAGAACGAAGGTCTCGACGTAGAAGCTGATTGGCGGGCTGCTTTGAGAGATCCGTCATCTTTCCGTCGATACGCTTCTGAATGCGCTGCAGTTCTTTGGCGTAGGGCCCCGTGTCTTCAGCCAAGTCAGAAATGGTGCTTCCATGGCTTCGCTCCTTGGGCTTCTCGATTGGTGACTCAGAACGAGGTGGCGCGGCGGTAGGTTGCGCAATGTCGCTGGTGAGGTACTGGGCCGTCTGGACCGGCACCTGAACAGTCGATGGTTGAGTTGGTACAAAAGCAACTGGGTTTTGATAGTACACTTGTTGCTGCGGTCGAACAGGCACAGCACCAAAAGGTTGATTAAGATTAGACGCAGAAAAAGCCGAAGCTGAAGCGGGAATAGTACACTGGTTTCTCGGCTCATGAATGGGTATGAGAGGCGGGAATGTTGCTGAAGGTCGTACACAAGAAGCAACGACATGCTTGGGCATGGCGTAGGCAGATGGCCGACGAGTGGTCGAAAAGGAGGTTGAGGACCTCTTGGAGTTGGAGAGGGAAGAGGAGGATCTTCGATGGTGGTGATGGTAGTGTCGTCTCTTGGAAAGGCTCTTCTTCTCCTTCTTGTCCTTGTCCTTGTCTCTCTTCCAATGCGAAGGACGTCTCTCGGTGCGGACCTCTTCCTCGTCGTCAGAGGCGGAGCCCTCAGACTGTGAATCTAATTCGTCTTCGTTATCATCATCTCCAGAGTCGTATTCAATCCTAATGCGACCATTCTTGCCACCAGATCGTCCGCCAGGCGTGAATGGGAGGCCAAAGGCCGCAGCCAGGAGGTCAACATTCGGACCACGCCGGCCGCGAGCCTTGCTGAAAAGGCCCATAGTTTGGTAACCCAGGAGTAGCACAAGAAGGCGGAAAAGGTCGCAGTCTCTGTCTATTCGGTGAAGAAACAAGTCTAGGGGCGGATCGGTTTGAGGTCAAATGAGTGACTGTGGTGGGTGGTAGATGATAGGGGTGAGATGGAGGAATGAGGTTGGAGATGTGAGGTTCAGATTGAAGGCTTTGGCCCGCAAGAACCAAGAGAGACGCGCTATGGACTCTTGGATCTCTTTTGCCTGGCTAGAGGGCCCGTGTGCGCGTCGACTTGTCTGAACAGCTGTTGCCAGCTGGCGGAACTGGCAGATGTCAGTATGCACTGCCACCCACCAACCACTGACGGTCTTTGATTTTTCGAGAATTCAAAGACATACCTTGGATGATAGAATGCTTTTGATGACTTTGTCAGTCTCTTTGGTGACCTCGCCGCTCAAGTCTGGAAATAGGGGTCAGTGATGACCCTCACAGCCGTTTCACCCAACTCAACTGCCCAATGCTCACACAAAGGCGCAGAGACTGGCACAATGACTAGTGTCTGATTTCCTCGACGTATCAATCACTTCAAAGACCTTCTGGTTGAATCCTTTGCTGTGGCTCGGGTCGATCAAAGCTTCGTGACCGCGGAATCTCGGAGGTGAAAGCTTTGTTGGTCGACTCAAGGCGAAGAAGTGTGACGATGATGACAGTTGCGAGTGCAAAGATGAAGATGAACAGATGTGAGTTCAAAGAGATGGAGAGAAGCAGAGATGGCCTCGTTGGAAGTTGTGTTAGCTGCGCCTTCTTTCATTTTCCCGTCTTGTGCTCTTGCCCGTTCCCTTTCACCCTCCGTTTACATGGTAATACTCTAACAATTCATCACAGCAAACGGCCGCTTTGTCTTTAAGAAACAATGTCCTATTTCGTTGTGCTCTGGCTGCTCCGCCTATTGCGTTTGAAGACAATGAACTGTAACATCGCAGCAAACGAACGCTTCGTCTGCGTGCAGGTAGCTTGCCATTTTGGGAGCCGACTACATAACACTAGCACAAAGAAATCCGGCCTCTTCCACGCCAGCTTCAGTCAAAATAATACAGTGATATACATTTCGAATGCGCTTTTGTCTACATGCATCCCATATGGGCATCCTTTATCCTTTCCCTATGTAATCCCGCGCAAACCTACTCAACTCCATCTAGTCAACCCGGAGAACACGGGCGCCCCTCTTCTTCTGCGACTTCTTCTTCTTCTGGCCACGGTCAAACGCCGCAGCAGCCGCGTGGTCACGGCCAACGTTGTCAAGGTCCTTGACCTTGTAGATGCGGATGATCCAGTTCTCGCTGGTGAAGGCCTCCTCCATCGTGTTAAGGATGGGGCCCTGGTCAGGCAACCGGACACCACGCACGCGATCAGCAACCTGACCAGCGGGGAACAGGCTGGCGTAGTTGTAGTACGACATCTTGTACCTAGAATAGTTGTTAATACCAAGCTTCCCCAAAAGCAAGAGTAATACTCACATCAAGCTGTTCTTCATTGTCTCGGTGGCATCGGCATCCACCTTGTACTCGCCACGGGGCGTGAAGAAGTTGCGCTCCTTGACCTCATCGGGCCAGATACCCTCAGCAATACGGACCATCCAGAGGAACTTGTTGATATCATCTCCCGAGTATCCGAGGAGACCGCCAAACACAATGAGGACGTAGTCGACCTCGTGCTGGCGCATGATGGGGTAGCTGACCTCCTCACGGGAGCTCATGGCCTTGCCCACAGTCGCGATGTGCGTGTTGTTCCACGTGTTGTTGTCAACGAGAGTAGGGCGGTCCGCCATACCACCAATCTGGTAACCGTAGTCCCACCACGACATGATCTTGGCATCCTCCTTGGTGTTCTGGCGAAGCCACTGGTACGCCTCTCGGTAGTCATCAATGATGTGCTGGCTACCATCAGGCATTCGGCTGGCCAAAACGACCGAAGGCGACGAGTAGGCATTCGAGGTGACCCAGGTGCAGTGGGTCACAAACATGAGCAGGTAGACGGTCATGGCAGCAGTCACAACAATCTTGGAGAGCGTCGTGTAAATGCCAACCTTGGGCTTCTGCGTCGCTCGCAGACCACCCTTGGCAGTCTTGGAGGCGTCACCAGCCTTGGCAACATCATCGGCGCTGGGGGTCTTGATCTGAAGATAGGTGTCGAGAACCTGAGAGACCGCAATGGCAGCAGCAACACAGACGACGGGAGTCAGAGTCAACATGAGACGGACCATGACACCGGCAAAGTAGCTGGCGAAGAGAGAGTAGACGACAACAAAGACATGCTCATCCCGCAGATTCTGGAAGCACATGTAAACACCCGCGGGGAAGAGCCAGATGAGGAAGTTGAGATCAAAGAAGAAGGATGGCCAGGCGGTAGGCTGGTGCTCCGAGACGGAGGCAATGATGGGAATGTGAATCTTGGCGTAGCTGGTATCCCAAAGAGAGTAGAATCGACCGTTCCAGGGGGCAATGTATCCAAGAGAGGTCAGGCCGACGACGCCGGCGACACCAACGCCGAACACCGCGAACAAGATAGTGTAAACGAAAGTTTGGAACTGCTTGCCAGAAATGGCAGATCGAACGTACTGGATGAAGCCGATCAACTGAACAAAACCAAAGATGCCTAGAGAATATTAGAATTGGAGCACAGCTGGTGCTTCTGAATGGATCATACCTAGTGCAGGCATATGCTCGCTGGTCTTGACAGGCAAGAAACCGACAAAAGGAATTTGCATACTAGCCAACGTGCCGAGCGCGTACCACGTTGTGTAGCTGACGTACAGGCGAGTGCTATATCGACCCATGGCAATCAGAGTGAGGGCGTGCACAGGAAGCAGACATGTGATGAAGGCATATCCACCCCATGAGGCGACCATGTAGCCGTAGGATAGCGCGCAGAGCGCGCCCCAGAGCATTGAGCCCAGCTTGAGAGCCTTGATCCAGAGGAAGAAGGTAAAGACGAGGAGGAAGATGGCAATGGCCTCGTTATCATAGCTGCCAGCAACAGATCGCGAGATGTAGCCGGGGGCGATTCCCATAAAGATGGCAGCAAGAAGACCAGCGGATGGCGAGGTGGTCATCTCGTTGGTGAGAAGATAGGACGCGTAGGCAGTCAGGCCCGAGCAGGCAGGGGCGAGAAGAACGCAAATGTTTCGAATGTCGACGGGGACAGTGAGGTAACGAAGGGCGTGGTAGATGACGCCGCTCGTCACCATGAGTCCAGGATAGAGGGTGCCTCCGGTAACCCGCCCGAGAGGATACCATGTCCGGTCATCAAACCAGTCCCAAAACTTGTAGAATCCATTGGCGACCAAGTATTTCGTCGCTCGGAAGTTGAACCACGGGTCGACTATCATGGGGTTAGCTCGACGGCCTCGACGCCTCGTTAGTATCTGGGGATGGACTAACACTCGTGGATAATGCTTTCAAAACCTGCGCGCAACGAGTTAGCAGTCGATTCTTCATTGAGAGCCTGTGCTGGAGAGCTTCTCCCACAGCGCAGAGCGTGTATCATGGGCAGGGGAAAGACTTACGAATCACAGAGAAAAGACGACTGGAAATGGCAGCGCCGGCAATGAGAAGAAGGATGATGACCCTGAGAAAGGTCCTCGTGTCTTTGCCGGTCACCGCGGAAAGCACATCTTGGTTGTTGGCCGCCATGATGAGCTGCGATTGTCGACGATGGTTGCCCCTTGGAGTTGATGCAACTTGTCGAAGACAGACGAGACGGGGTCGAGATGTTGAAACTCCACTGGGGAAGCAAGAAGGACAGCTTGGAGCTTATGCCAGCTGTGGCCACACACACCACAGCCACAGGGGAGGAAGGTGGATGGGGCCGTTTGAGGTACGTACCTCTCTTTCCTTTTATGAGGCAGCGCGCGTCCCCCCGTGAGGTGGCCCCGTCCCCTCCCCTCCACTGCACGGGCAGCCGGGGCGCCCGCCGGAGCCGCAGTTTCGCCGGCTCTTCCCCAGGAGCTCAGTTATCCAATGACGACCAGGTCATTCTACGTCAACCTGATGAATCGGCCGAGAGGGGGAGTGATGGTAGAGCTACTTGCGTTTCAATTAGCTTGGAAGAGTCCATTGAAGGAGATTTCGCCCATTGAAGGTCGAAATGACAATTGCTGACTGTCTTGGCACCTGCAGCTCATCATATGCCTGAAATATTGCTCAATTGCTGTCTCTGCCCTTTGCACCATCTCAATGGCAAAGATCAGCTCCAATTCCAGCTTGTACTCCCTTCACTTCCAGACAATCCAGGTGCAGCAAGTTGTAACCCAAGCCATTGACGTTTTGTCGTCTAAAGTTGTTATATTGTACACCCGTACACTTGTGTAGCAGGGACCTAAGGAAACATCTATGCAGGACCGCCACGTATATCCTCAAATCATACACCGAGTCTTGAGTCGAGGCTCGAGGCTCGGATTATGCCTCCGGTGGATTTGTTTCCCTACGGTTGGCCGACCTTTTCGCCCGTGACTTTCCATCTGTTCTTCCGCCTCATCCACTCTTACGCTTTTCCCTCTGCCACGACCCCATCTTAAGGGTTCTCCTTGGCAACCTTCAGCAGCAGCTTCTCGAGGTCGAACTTGGGATCCGCGGGGTCGGTAATCACTGTCCAGAGTTAGCCCAGGGCATCCTCAACGGTCGGGATGCATGAGATGCAAAATGCCGCCCCCAATTGCTCCCCAGGGGGGCAGATTGGGTTGGGCAACGATGCCAGAGCCGACATACCAGAGTCAGCAGATGATGTAGGGTTCTTCTGCTTCGCAAACTCCGCCTTGGCCTGCTGGATCAACTTCTCCTTCTTCTCGTACTCGTGCTGGGCGTGCTCGGCTCTTTGGGCAGAGAAAATAGCCCGCTGGTGGGTGAAGCCGTAGAAGACGCCCAGGCCGAGGGCGGACCACCGCAAAACCTGGAAATAACTCAATTAGCCTCGTCGTCAAGGCACGTAGCGATTGTGCTGCCCAGAAGTTCGCGTTTCCGGCGTTGTCGAGTGCTCGGGGTCGGGACACGGTCGAGCGGGCGGCCGAATCGGCGTGGATAAGGAAGGATAACACGCACGTTCACTCCGGTCGAAGCCATTGGGGAATCGGGTCGCAAAAACTGCGCGATCGAGTGGGAAAGCGAGAGGATCGGTACAGACGATAGTCGTGGGTCGACAATGGCTTGTCAATGGACCCTGTCGGGGGTGGCTCGAGGGAATTAGGTGCGTCGGCTTGAGGTGAAGAATTGAAAAGATGTCGGGAAAAGTCGCAGTTTTTCCAGGTTTCGCTGTAAAACCAAAAAAGCAGCCGCTGGCGGCTGGGAGCTCGGGCGAACGACGGGAGCTGGAGCCAGTGACAGTGAGCCGGCCGGCGGGATCACGTGCCAGGCTGAATCTCAATCTTTCAGGTACGTACCGTTGAATTGGCACTCTCACTGAGCGCTGTCCCTGACTTGTCCCCTGTGCAGGGGCTCCCGGGGTGCAACTTTCCATGCTGGACGGGCTGTCGCATCCAATTGGACCCCCATTCAGCAGCTACTCAAAGTACTTACCAACTTTGTCCATACACTGCATCATTACTCAAACAACGCGGTCTCAACCACAAAGACGCGCCACGGTACAACGAGATCGGCTTGTCCTTTTCTCTCGTGTTACTATTAAACCACGTCCGCCCACGACTTGCGCCTCTGCGCCTCCCATCACCTGCGAATCCCGCCATCTATAGCTTCCCAGAGATCGACCTGTCCCGCGATGGGACCGTGGAACCTCCACCATGCAGCAACGTCGAGATGAAATCCTAGCAAAGAAAGCAAAGCTCGCGGAGCTTAAGCGGCAGAGAGAGCTTCGGGCCAGCCAGGCGACCGCCAGTCGCTCGAGCATAGGCACCCCTAGCGACGTTGGTCCCCTGATCCTCCACCGCCTTGGAATTAGAGCCCCTCGTTGACATGTTGTCTCTTCACCACAGTTGATATCCCCCACTCCCGGAAGAGCAGATAATCGCCGCGAGATCGAATCGCTCATCAATAGCTTGGTGGGCGACAGCAGACCTGGCTCCACCGTCACAGGAGGCGCTGCCTCTCCGGCCCCTCGTGGCAGCCGTCCGAACAGCGTATTGAGCGCTGGCGAACTCAGCAACGAGACTTCCGAATTCGCCTCTCCCGGTCATATCCAGCCTCTTGTGCTACCACCGAGCCTCACTACTGTTCCCCTCACCACCGTCTTCGAGTGCCCACCGTCTCCCGTAAAAGAGGTCTTCTCATACAGTAAAGGTGTTCAAACGACCGAGGAATGGACGACTCCCAACAGAACCAGAGCTCAGTCTCTCATTTCAGAAGCCGATGATATACCCGTAGCAACTTCGACGCCCAGCAAGAGGCTGAGCAGGAGAGAACGGGATCGAGAGGAGGAGCTTCGACAGAAGATCAGGGAAGAGGTGGAGGAAGAACTAAGGGCGACAAAGGAGTTCCTGACTGATGGTGTGGTGCCGCCGAGCACGTCGATGAACTATCCTTCAAGGAATCTCACTGCCGAAGAACTCGACGCCGTGGCGCAGTCAGACGAATTCGTCGACTTCCTGGAAAAATCCACCAAAGTGATTGAGAGGGCTCTTGATCAAGAGACGTACGATATTCTCACAGACTATGCGCTGCAAGGTCAAGATGTCGAGGATGAAGATGAAGAGACTGGCAATACTGGCGGCCGCGGAAAGCATAGAGTGAAGGAGGTGGCTCAATTCTTTGATGATCGGTGGTCCAAGAAGCGCATGATCAGCGGAATCGACTTCTCGCCCAAATTTAGCGAGCTTGTTCTCGCTTCTTACACCAAGAACCCAACGGCGCCCCACGAACCTGATGGCTTGGTTCAAGTCTGGAACCTTCACATGCAAGATCGCCCAGAATACGTCTTTACAGCGCAGTCAGATATCCTGACAGCAAAGTTCTCGCCTTACCACAACAACCTCATCATCGGTGGCTCATACAGTGGCCAAGTGTTGCTCTGGGATACAAGAGCAAAGGCGGCACCAGTTCAAAAGACCCCCTTGACTGGATACGGACACGCTCACCCTATTTACTCGGTCGATATCGTTGGTACTCAAAACGCCAACAACATCATTTCTTGCTCAACTGATGGTGTTGTGTGTGGTTGGACCATGGACGTGTTCGCTCAGCCTCAGGAGTTGCTCGAGCTGAAGAATCCCAGCCAGGCCAAGGTGGCTGTTGAAGATGTGAGCCCAACATGCCTTTCTTTCCCGGATACGGATCCTACATTCTTCCTAGTCGGCAGTGAGGAGGGCACCATCTTCCCCTGCCATCGATACGACCGAGCTGGTGCCAAGGCCGGCGTGGACAAGAAGATCAGCTACAAGGGACACACTGCACCTGTCATGTCGGTCGACTTCCATCCTGCCAGAGGCCCAGTGGATCTGGGTGATTTGGTCATCTCTTCATCACTGGATTGGAGCGTGAAGCTCTGGAAGGTTCGGGCACCTGCCGCAACCTCCACCATTGGCTCTGGCGATGGTACCATCTCGCCGCTGATCGATTTTGTGCGCGAGGATGTCGTCTACGACGCCAAGTGGTCACCTGTCAAACCCAACATTTTTGCCTTGGTAGACGGTGCCGGCTGGCTTGAGCTCTGGGATATCGCTGTCGAAACCGAGGAACCTGTGTCGCGGATATCACCCAGTGCTCGAAAGGACGGCAGAACCATGCTTTCAAAGAGTCTGAACAAGGTAGCATGGGAGCCCAATGATGGAAAGCGCCTTGCCACTGGTGGTATCGACGGTTCCCTAACAGTGTTTGAGGTGGCCAGCGGTCTAGGAGGCAAGGAGGCTTTGAAGAATGAGGACTGGGCAAACGTGAAGAAGCTTGTGAATAGACTTGAAGCGGTAGGGTCGAATGGCGCGTTGATGGATTAAGGAGGTGTGTTGGAGTATTGGCAGCATAGTGGGCGCATTTTTTGTGTGTTCAGGTAGTTGACCAGAGAAGATGATTGTATACCCCGTAAGATTTTATATCCTGTGAGAATTATCGAGCTTGTCTCATCCATCCCGAAGCTCTTCAGCCCCGATCACTCAAGTATAGACGCTACTCTCCAAGCCTTATTGGGCGAAGCCAGCTATGTAACATTCTTGGAGCTTTTGTCCAGTAGTCGAGAATCTATAAAACTTCATTAGTTCACACCATGTACTCCGTAATTTGTTGTGTTCGTCTGTTGACTGGCAAACCCCCTGTTGTGCTCAGTTGAGATTAGACGTCACGTGCATCAGATCCACCTGACTGTTTACCAACTTTTTCGCTTGAGCCTCAACAACTTTCCTCTCTACCTCCTCCCTACTCCAAAAACCACCTGAGATGAGACAGGCACGAGCGGCTCAGCACCGTTCGGCTGTTGGAGGTTCATCGCCTTCATGTGTCTGACCGTGTGGCGAGACACGGTGAACGGCGGTGACTAGTTGCATTGGTAAGTCTTTTTCCTCTTCTCGCGACTCATTGAACATTTCATGATGGCATTCATTTTTATGAATTCTGCAATTCTGAATGCCAATTTTGGCATCCTGTGGACAAACTCTAGCTGAAAATATTCAATCTCTTGCCTTTGTTGTCTGGTATATCCTAGATAGCATGCTAATTCACCAACAGATTCCCTTTCCAACTACTTTTAGGTCTCCATGGGCACACCCGCAGGGTAACGAGCACCAGCAGCCTCAAAGTTGTCCACCAGTGGTCGGATAGCCTGCATCTCCTCCTCGGTGAGCTGGAAGTACTGGGTGTTCTCCTTGACTCGGGCCGCTGCGCTGGCTCCCGGGATGGGGATGATGGTAGGAAGGTGATGACGCTTGCTGAGACCCCTCACCCAGGCAATTGCCAGCTGGGCTGGGGTGCATCCCTTCTTCTTGGCAAGAGCCTCGACCTCTTTGACGAGCTTGAGGTTGTGCTGAAAGGCTTCGGGCTGGAAGCGTGGCATGATGGAGACAATGCCCAATTCCTTGACCTCGGAAGCGTCCTTGAACCGACCAGAAAGCATCTATGGTAGTGATTAGAACTGAAGCTGCTTGCATGAAATTAATTTTACTTACACCACGGCCAATAGGCGCATAGGCCAGAATTGGGATGTCATGCTCGGCACAAGCTTCGGCAACCCCGTTCTTGAGGATATCGATGGAGAACATGCTCAGCTCAACCTCGGCGGCAACAATCTTGGTGATCTTGGCAGCGTCGTGGACGGTCTGGGCGCTGCACTCTGAGAGGGAGATGCCACCGATCTTACCCGTGTCGATGTACTCCTTCTGGATGACACCAAAGGTCTCCTCGAGGGGGACATTGGGGTCTCTCCTAGAGCAGGCAAAGGCGTCAACCTTCTTAGTCCCACCGAGCTGGCTGATGATGTTGTCGAGAGATCGTCGGATGCCCTCGGGTGTGCCGTTGGGCATGTGGTTGTCGAGATTGTGACCGCCCTTGATGACGAGAAAGACCTTGTCGGCATCCTCGGGATACTTGGTGAAGTAATGCTTGAGAATAGTCATGGAGTTGTACTCAGGTGTGCCATAGAACTCGGCGCCGTTCCAGACGTTGCAGCCGTTTTCGAGGGCGGTGCGCATGGCCTCGATGGCCTGGTCCAGAGGGGGTGGAGTAGGACGCCAGGTAAGGCCTATCGGTTGTCAGTTGGGATGCTATGTAAGTTGAGCACAGTGAGGTCATACCCATGAGGCCGTAGCCAAGAGCGCCGACTTCCTTTCCAAGAATCTGAGGCATGATGGGCTTGGTACGAATGAGGTTATACTGAGTAAAGGTCTTGGAGGAAGAGAAGATGGCTGAGGATGGTTGTCAATTGATGATGATGATGATGCTGAATGAATCCATTCTTAATGATTCAACCATCCATTTTATAGCCACTTCGTTCATCCTTCCATCGGTCTTGGATGCAAACTCCATGTGTATCATCGTCGGGTTTACAGCCTCGCCTGGTTAGATAAAGCCGTCAAGCTCCACGCCGCGTGCCGAGATCCGCCGGCAAGTTCCGCCTCATGCAAGGAGCATGGAGATAGGAGCAAGGCTAGGTTCTATAAACCCGCAATGGAAATAGTTGATCCCATCTATCGGGGTTGATTGTCAAAATGTCACCCTCTCGTATAGTAGCCAGTTGTATGACGCCTTATGAAGCATGCTAATTAGATTTGCCATAAACTGCCACCCTGCAACATTGACATCTAATCAGCAGGTAAATAAATTCATACATAATGTTAACACTCAAAATTTACTAAGTTCGTGAAGCATTCAATTATTTCCGTTCTTGGCTAGAACAATACGTGTTGCTATCCGCCTCATTCACAAAGCGAGACTGTCTGCATCTCTGGGGGCATCGGATTGAACACTGATATCTCTTGTGAGAAGCCACAGGATGAATAGCTCGGCGTGTATTCTACCGCCTGTACCTTGGTTGGGAAAGCTTCACTGCTTGAGCTGGTATCTCTTATTGGCTTCAGAATGAGGAGGATTCTTAGACTAACTACACTTAGTCCGACTACGGCGCCGGCGACTGCTCCACTGATGACGGCCCCGGAGGGAGCGGATGCTGCTTCCTCCGGCTCCTCGGCCGGCTGTGTCTTCTCTTCCTTTGCTGGTGTTGCACTAATAGATGGCTGGACCACGCCGCTGGCGGCTTCACCGCACATACTGATAGTATTCTCGTCAAAGACTCGCGGGTTGGTCGGCAACACCATTCATCTAGAGCTCTTTGACGTTGTGTTTGGTAGCCTGAGCCCTGCTGCGATCGATGTCGACAAAGGGCACGACATGCTGGTCGTTTGGCACCCGGATCTACAGACTCAAATTGAAAGCAATATCGCCAACGAACCTAATCAGAGTATTGGCTGGCACCTGGTAGTCAAGATTAATGAATCAACGTGCACTTTATCTGCATCAAGGAGACATGCTAAATAGTGGAGGTCGTATGAGGTCTGTGTGGTCGAACCCGGTCACTTGCCAACTTACGCGCCTGGCACCTCGAGAAGGAGTTGTCCTTGGGGGTCAATACGGCACGGCAAAGCAGGGTTGAAAGGGGAGATGCTCTCGCTAGAACATGACTGAAGTTGGTCCAAATGTCCGAGATGGTGACAGCCCCGAGTGCCTGTGTAGTCGTTGTAGACGAGGGGTGCCGCGTAGTTCCCTTTATCACCTTCTCCTCAACCTGCCCAAGGGAACCATCGACGGGGTCCCCAATGTCGCCGGCTTTCTCAACTGTGGATCACAGCCGCGGCGTAAGATCAAGAGACACACTTGACGCCATAAAGCCTGCACATTTCAAAGCTTATTGCGCGCCCGGAGCGCAGTTCAAAGAGGCAATTTCCACGTTGTCAGGTCGTAGCGAGCAACAATTCGAGTGCATGGCCGTGTTTCAACAGGGATTTCTCCCGTATCGCTCCCGTCCCGCAGCAGATCCGGTAGGAACTGCGGATCCGCCAAGACCTGTCTTTGCCTCTTTACTGGCTCTGCACTGCTAGCGCCCGTCTGCACCCACTATGGCTTGCCTTGCAGACAGCCAATGAATTGGCGTAATCACATTTTATGGCCCGCAGTCGCTACCGGATCTGCTGAGGGAGTCGATGAGGGCATGCAAGTGTTGAACAAAGAAGCCCTGCAAAGTACTAATTCGTCATGTTCGTATAGGCTTTTAATCGAAATGGTTGCATCCTGCGGCTGCGGTCGGCGGCAATTCACAAGCGCCATGTTTATCGCGTAGACCCTTCCTCGGGGAGTCGGGGGGCAGATACATTCGGTACTAATTCCCCCAACTACCCATACCCAGCGCGAGGCCAAATAGTTCCATTCCTAAGCGTCTCTCATTTCCCGTCGACGAGTTTGTCGACTTTCTCTCTTTTCTTTAACCCTTTTCCTACCAAACGGGCTTTTCATACGCCATGATCTTGCTCTCACAGCCATCATTATCACCAAATACAGCGCTGGTCGCTGCTTTTGCCGGGATAATATTGCTCTGGCACCTTCTATCTACGTCTGCGTCTTTGTCTACGCCTAAGACGAGTGGCCTGGAGTTTGTACCAAGCTCCATTAACTGGTCTACTCTGCCGCAATTTCATCCTCCTTCATCAATCAAACCCCTACCAACCGAGACGCCTCACAAATTGCCCAAAGTCCAGGCCAACCAGGGCCAGTTCCAACTCACTTCAACAACCAAGAGCCGCCAAAAAGCCGTCCGTGATGAGTTTCTGCGCAGTTACAAGTCATACAAGCAGTATGCATGGATGAAGGATGAGCTGACGCCCATCTCCGCTACGGGAAAGGACACCTTTGGAGGATGGGCGGCAACCCTAGTCGACTCCCTGGACACCCTTTGGATTATGGACCTTAAGGAGGAATTCAGTGAGGCTGCTCAAGCGGCTGCCACACTCAACTGGGGCGAAACTCACGATGGCGCTGTCAACTTGTTTGAGACGACGATCCGTCACCTTGGAGGTCTTCTCAGCGCCTACGAACTAAGCCGCGAAGAGGTTCTACTCAAGAAGGCCGTCGAACTCGGCGAGATGCTCTACGTTGCCTTTGACACCCCCAATCGTCTGCCTGGCTTCTGGCTCAACTTTGAAGACGCCCGGACTGGAAAGCAGGTTGCCGGCGTCCATGACCCGTCCGCGTCCCCTAGCTCTCTGGTGATGGAATTCACAAAGCTCTCGCAGCTCACCGGCGATCCCAAGTTTTACGATGCCACAGATCGCGTAACGCAGTTTCTGGTGAGAATCCAGAACGACACGCGCTTACCAGGAATGTGGCCTCTCTGCCTCAACTTTCAGCACGAGCAAGCAACCGACAACACCTTCTCCCTTGGAGCACTAGCCGACTCCCTCTATGAGTATCTACCAAAGATGCACGCGCTACTGGGCGGCTTGGATGCGAATTACGAGTCTATGTATCGTATAGCCTCTGATACCGTCATCAAGCATCTGCTCTACCGGCCTATGCTCCCAGAGAAGGACGATATTCTATTCTCTGGTGACGTTCACGTCAATGACGACAGGGTCGAGCTGGTCACCGAGAGTCAACATCTCACCTGCTTTGCTGGAGGCATGTTTGCGTTGGCTGGAAAGCTCTTAAACATCGAGGAGCATGTTAATATTGGAGAGAGACTTGCCCGAGGCTGCGGGTGGGCATACAAGGCGTTCCCCACAGGCATGATGCCCGAGATTTTCAACCTCGTGTCCTGCCCGAGCCTTGAGCCGTGTGAATATGAAAAGGAACGATGGCTCCCTGAGAAGGAATCTCTCTCGCCAGGCTTTCGAAATGCCCGGGACCCGCGATACATCCTCCGGCCGGAAGCCATCGAGAGCATCTTCATCATGTATCGGATCACAGTCGATCCCCAGTGGCAGGACATGGCGTGGGATATGTTCCAATCCATTGTCCGCTACACCACCACCCAGCATGCCAATGCGGCTATCGAGGACGTCACTAATACAGAGACTGCCCAAACCGACTCAATGGAGGTAAGTAGAACTCCTTGCTAGTGATTGATCACGGTATACTAACACATGGACGCAGAGTTTCTGGCTATCCGAGACCCTCAAGTATTTTTACCTCATCTTTTCACCCCCAGACTTGGTGAACTTGGATGAGTATGTGTTGAATACAGAAGCACACCCCTTCCGCCGACCATAGTGCGAGAGTTGGTAGTTAGAATTACCATGTATAAGTAATGAGCGATTGCATCTTGGATACAGAAGAAGACGAAACCCTACCGTGACGACGTTGGGTAAAATACATCAATGATAATATCCCACATGAGCATCTTCCCCCCAATTGCGACGTCACAGCTGTAACCTCGTGCTATCATGAACTTAGATCTCAATTAGCATCCCTTCCGCTGCTTTCACCTTCTGGCACTCCTTGATCTTTCTAGTCACCGCCATATTGACATCCACCGCTGATCGATTCATAATCTTCTGCCCCTGTTGTCCACCATCATTGACCTGACGCTGAGACGCCACCTTCTGCTTCCTCTTCTTGGTCGACTTGCGCGTTTCTGCGGCACGAATCACCTCTGGGGGCATCGGCATGACACCCCGTGCTTGAAGCCACCAGTCCGGGAACGTCTCGAGTCCAACCTCTACGAGACCCTCGGGCGTCGTGGGCATGGCGTGTTTGAACCGGCATGAGAGACCCCATCTGCATGCCCCGTAGCGGCACCAGTGGCGGCATGGAGATGTCAGAACAGGAGTCGGAGACATAGTGGTCGTGAGCTCCAGGTCCTGACTGTTGTTGAGGGGGTTATGACGGCTCGAGGCGAGACCCTGCGCGGGCTTGAGCTTCTTAGGAGCTGGCGAAGCCAATGCAGGCTTTGGCTTGTCCTCGACCTCGCCAGCTTCAGAAGGCGGTGGAGAAGAACTAGGTTCAGTCTTGGAAGGGCCGGTGATTGAGGCACCGTCATCGGAGCATAACTGTTCCTTTTCGCCATCATCTGAGATCAAGGCAAACTTAAGCTGGTAAGTCCCGGCCTCGGCGTGAAAAGGTCCCAGGTTGATCATGTCTTCTGTCTGCTCTTGAGGCAGATGTCGGGGGACTCCGATGACTTCGAGCCATTCAGGGAGCATGTCGGCGGGGATGAGAGGAACAGCTGTTCCGGGGCGGACGAGAACTTGGCCGTTGGGCGTGATTTGCTCGAGGCCAGGCCGGACCAGGAAGAATAGAGGCCTGGGAGACATGGTTGAAAGAACCTTTTATATGAGGTGAATGAGTGTGTTTAGTAGACGACAACTTACAGTACACTAGGGTAGTCTATCTTTATATAGAAAGACTACTCTTGGATTGTCAATCCTGCATAGCTTGTTTCACTAGGTACTCACGGTTTGCCATAGACAAACACAAAACCAGCATACATGCAGCTTCACGTAGGGTTTGTCCAACTATCGAACCTCCACGCGGATCTTGACATCCAACCCGTCCACACAGTAACCCAGCTGCCTAGGCCCGTCCTTGAGTTCCACCTCTCTCTTGACCCATCGTCCTGCCTTGCCTGAGCTGCCCTCCGCGGCGTGTGTGTCTATCCCCTTTCGTTCCCTCTCTTCTTCGGCTTCCTCCTCGTCGCTGCTGTCTCCCTCTTGATCATCAAAGCCGGCAACAGGATCCCACTCGCCAGTCTCCCACACGAGTCCCATCTTGAGGGGAGACATGTCAAACAGTTTTCCAGCAACTCCTTTCACGGCATAAATGTCGTATGATTTGGGAATCTGAGTAACTTTCTCTTCGCCTTTGCCCAGGTGGAAACCAACTGTAACTAACCTAGCTTCAAGAAATGCAGGATTGACCTCTAGCCGGCGGTTGATGGTTGGCTCGCCATACATCTCGCAAAGTTGAGTATAACGAGGATGGTTGACCAAGACTTCCGCCTCTGCATTCTCTGGCACAGCTGCGAGTTGTTTTCCAATACGAGAGAGGTAAAACATCTCGGCGTTGGTCCGATCAGCAGGCGTGACCTGGCTAAAGTTGAGAGACTTGAGTGAGGCAAGACGAGCCACGGTGAACATGTGAGACTCTTCTGCGGATGAAGCCTTGGCATCGATGTCGGCGGCATCGTAGAATGGGTTGTGTCCAATCCGCAAACCTGTTAGACCTGGAAAGTGCTTGGGTAGCTGGTCCACAAACGTCCATGACTGTATGTTGTTGTATGAGACATCGAGATACTGAACAGATTCGGAGAACATGGGACCTTCAGAGCCTTCTGGTGCGACGGCTGAGATGTTGTTCCCTTTCAGGTGGATGTTGCGGAGGGACTTGAGAACTGTGAGGGTGCTGATGTCGGCAAGTGTCGTAAACTCGTTGATCTCAAGGTTGATTGAAGTCAGAGTAGACGCAAGAGTTCCAAAGTTGACAAGAGGAAGGCTATGAAGGTGATTTGAACCAGCATCAAGTGCAGCCAGGATGGGGCATTTGACGGCGATGTGGCAGACCTCTTCCCAACTCAGCATTGTCTCCTCAAGCGACAACTCCTTGACGCCATCAATCACACCCGTAGTTTGATTGTCCAGAACATCCTGGAACCGGTTTCCACTAGAATCATGTTAGTACATTGTTTACTGTTTGCAACAGACCGGGAAGGGGACACACTTGATGCTCAGATGCTGAAGGTTTGGCAGCTCACGACAAATGTCGAGCACAGGATCAAGCCGCTCAAACAAGTTGCGGCTAAGGTCAAGCTGGGTGATCTTGGGACACGTCTTGGCTATGACGCCCTCCTCCTCATCCTCAGCCCTCGGGGTAGCGACCTGCAGGTCCTCAAGGATGACGGTGGTGAGCACGGCCGGATTTGCCTGCTTCCTCCGGATCTTCTCGAAGCCGACCTCCTCCGCACGCTTACCAAAGAAGATGATCTCCTCGGCTGCCCTCCGGCCGTCGGGAAGGGTATACTCGGAGGCGTACTTGTGGTAGACGGCAGCCAGAAAGTGCCGCGGCGGGTCAGCAGGGCGCGAAGGCCGAACAAAGGATGCAGCGGTGGGGGAATTTGATTTGCCTGTGGCCGGGTCGTCAGTCAGTCTGAGGGGGATCTAGACCGGTATCTCGTGTTACATGTAAAGTAACGGATGCCCTTGTGGCATCCGTCGTGTTTGCCCCGGGCCGAGTCGTCCCATTCCACTCCGAGCCAGGTACCCGTGGTGCCCGCGACCTCACCGACGAACCTCACGGTGCAGAGGGCTCCATCGTAGGAGACGCGCTGCCCAATTCGTTGAGAGGATGACATGATGATTGTTTAGAGAGATTGATATTGGCTGTTATTGAGTGCGCGACTTGATGATGGTCATGGTTGATGGCGGCCGATCGTTGTTGCGTTGTTGAGAGGAGAGTCCGACTCAGGCAGCAGAATTTGAAGCATCATCCTGCTGTGTCAGAGAATTTGTGTGGCCTACAACAACAAATTACAGCAACACAAGAGGCAGCAGCAATTATCGACAAATACAACTAATGCAGGTTTCCGATTAAATCAAATTCACGACTACCCAATTTTTTAACAAAACGTTTAATTAAAAGAGGTATCTTTGTCGCTGGCAAACACAAAGCAAAAGCAGAGGCCCGCCTCGCTAGACAAGCCAAGAGAAACAGTGACACTAACAACACACGCTCACGTTGGTTTATGCATCAATCACAACCGGCTCTTCTTGTCCTTCTCCTTGGCGACAACTCTAACCAACGCCCTTCCGTTTGTCAGGCACACCTTGCCCCCTGCCACCTGAACGGTGAACCGTACCTCTTCGTACCCGTCCGTCTTCTGCCCCGTCCGCCACACGCTCGTGATGAGCTTGTCCCCGGGAATCACCGGGCTGGCAAACCTCGCCTGGAACTCCCTGAGGTTGGCCGGGTTGCTGCCGCCCAGCTCTTTCAGAATCTCGTGGCAGGCCATGTTCCACGAGTAGAGGCCGTGCATGATGGAGCCCCCAAAGCCCATGCCCGCCCCCGGCTCGGGCGTGGCGTGGAGCGGGTTGTAGTCGCCGTTGAGGCGGTACAGCAGGCCCGACTGCTTGGTTGACTGGTGCTCTAGCACCAAATCGGGCTTCTCGTCTACCGGCGGAGGGAAGCTAACCGTCGGCGGGCCCTTGGGTCCCCCCCAGTTCCCCTGCGCGACATAGAACGAGCTGGTTGTCACCCGCGAGTAGACGTCGCCGCTGCCCGCGTCCACCAGGTCAGACTGCGTCTCTACTACGCTGCCGGGGTGGCCCTTGTCGTAGACCCCAATCACCTTTGTGCGGAACTCGAACCTTTTGCCCTCGGACGACACGGGAAGCCGCTTCAGGAACTCCATCTTGCGCTGTCCGTCGACTACACGGCTTGGGTCAAAGTCTGGCACTCCGGGGATCTTGACGGCTTTTTGAGCTGCGTAAAAGTCCACAACGTCTTGTGTGTCGCCCTTGAAGACTAGGAGTTGAGTAAACCGTCAGTAAGCTAACTGCGTACATCTGAAACCGAGGGTATAATTAGAACTCACGGAGAGCTACGGGGTATGTCGGGAAGACGGTAAAGCTAGGGTGAAGTTCCTGTAGGGCTGCTCAGCAACTTGTCGATCTCGTCTTGAGACTGGATCGTCAACTCACGTAGAGGAACTGAAGCTCATCATCGGTACAGCCAACTGTGTTGGCAAAGAGCAAGACATCTCGTCTCAACCACGAGACGCTCTGAGGAGGATATTGATAACCAACGCCTGGTCCAGACATGATGTATGTATGTATGTAAAAGAGAAGCAACAAAGAGGAATGTGTCTGAGCATCTCCCTCCCTTTTCAACGGCCGGAAACGCCTCGCCTTTTGTCCTACCCCGTCTCAGCGCCAGCGCCCCAAAGGGCTGAACTCGTAAAAAAAAGCAGCCCATCTCTTGGCAGCGATTCCGGCCTGTGTAATTACACTGGTACGATGGATGCCTCATGGCTTGGTCGCCCGGAGCCGAGGCTCACGGAGCTGTGGAGCACAGCATGACCTTTATTATCAACGGGCGTCAGCCAACAAAGAGGTCTTTTACGAGCTGCCCTATCCCTTAAGCTACAGCTGCAGCCGCCAGATGCACAGCCAAAAGTCCCTCGCCAACCTCAAAGACAGAGTGTCAAGATGGGATGGGGATGTGATAGGATGTGTGTCCAGAACCGGAGACGGAGACGGAGACGGAGTATAACAATAAAC